CGTTATTCTACCTCCTTATCTGGTATTTTATCTTCCGGGCACACAAGGGCAAATGTGAAGAGATCTTCTGATGCAGTATTCTGAAAATCAGGAACTAAAGTTTTGTTTTGTTTTTTAAATAAGATACAATTGGAATTAGGCGAGAAGGCTACAGTACACCTGTGTAGAAAAGATTTGCTGCAAGGGGGGAGAATTTCCTATTTTAATCTCTTTGTTTCATTTTGTTAATACTTTTGATTTTTAGTCAGACTCAGATATTCATCCTGTAGCTCATTTGGTAGTTCCTTTTGTTGCTAATGATCCTTTATATAGTTATGATGTAAATATAACTTGAAATTCAAAATAATAATTTTATTTTTCTGTCAGATTTAGAGGCTATTTATTTATTTTTTTTACTTTCTTTGAGTGTTAAGCTTTTAGGATTTTGTAGAGAAACATAAAAAGAGAGTGAGGAACACAGGACAGAGCAAAGAAAAGAGCAGACCAAAGCTAGGGTTTCAAGAGAAGTTAGATCTTTGAAGAGTGGATTATATTGGAGAAATGCTTTAATCCATAGCGAGGGAGTTGGGCTGTTATAACCCCTGCATCAGTTACTAAATGGCAACAGGTCACCACCAGCCACACTGGGGATTAAGCAGCCTGTTGAAGACCTTGCCTTATTTCCTAGACCTTCTCAATTCCAGTCTTCTTTGTCTGCATTTCTTCTTGGCCACATTCAGGGCTAACCAATGTGATTTCAAATTCTAAACTCTAAAATAACTGTCTCTGATCAGAGACAACTTCCTGCCACTCTGTTTTTTTCCCTTTCTCATATCAGACTGGCCTTCACCTTCATAATGACCACGAGTCCTCCCTCCTACTCTCTTTCCATGCCTCAGTCCATTCCTCTCACTATCACTTTTACATCCAGTCTGGACCACATAACCAACCAGGTCTTTCAATCTTCATTTAAGCCACATCAACCTATCCTTTTATACCTAAGGTTCTTTTGCAGACAGGTTTCTTCAAATGGAATACTTAATTTCACTTTCTTGGCTTGACAATTCCTACTTACCTTTGAACAGCTATTTAAAATGTCACTTTCTTTAGAGGTCTTGTTTCATGTAGCCAGGGGACAATGCATACAGTGGAATTTTGTTATTTGGGGCTTCTCGTCATCTTTTTTGCCTTTCTTACCACTCAAATGTCCTTTTGAGGAATTGGGTCTTCCCCCATTTACTCATTTTTTTAAATAGGAATGTATTGAAAAGCTCTGTCATCCTTAACCAGGTCTCTCAGACTCATTTTCCATGGAGTCTGTGGCAGAGAGGGGAACATCCTACAAGGACTGAGTCTAGTCCATCTAGCAGCATCTGCCTCTCTACCTCTAGAAATTCATTGATTCTATAAGCATTCAACAGTTTCCCAATAAGTTTCTTTTTCTTAAGATAATTGGATTAGATTTCTGTTCTTTACAGAGAATCCTCTTGTGCTCCCACAGTGCCTTATTATATATAGTGTCTACCACACAGCCCGGCAATGTTATGTAAACAAGTCTGTGTTTACTGACAGACTGAGACAGTGTTCCGATCATCTGATCATCTTGTTATTCACAATACCTAGCATTATGTCTAACACATTGTACATGTTCAATACTTAGCTGATCAAATTAATAAATGAATGCATGACATAAAGCAAGTTGTCTCTAGCTTTCTTTTCTCTCATTAATATCTGAAACAAGCAATTGGATCCTTTTTTTTTTTCAAAGATTTGTTTTTGGATTTTATTGAACATGAAGATCTTCCTGAATTCCACAGCGATAGTGGCATGATTAAGGAATACACTTGATTAGAAAAACTTAAAATTGAAATGCCAGCAAGAGAAACCATAGATTCCCAATGCTCCTATTATCCCATAGAGAGGTGATCTGGGCCCAGGGATCAGTGGATTTACCTAATTGGAACCTTTTCCTTACTTGCTGCTATCTTAAATAGAGATCTGGCACACCTTCTCCTCACTTTCTTTCCTGAATCTTATCACCAGCACTTTTCTTAAATAGGACTGGTTGTTGTTGTTCTCCTCCTCCTCCTCCTCCTCCTCCTCCTCCTCCTCCTCCTCCTCCTCCTCCTCCTCCTCTCCTTCTTCTTCTGGTACAGTAGATTGAACTCAAGGGCACTCAACCACTGAGCCACATCCCCAGGCCTATTTTGTATTTTATTTAGACAGGGTCTCACTGAGTTGCTTAGCACCTCACTTTTGCTGAGGCTGGCTTTGAACTTGGGATCCTTTTGCCTCAGCCTTCCAAGCTGCTGGGATTACAGGAGAGCACCACCCTGTGACTGATAAAATTAATAAATGAATGAATGACATAAAACAAGTTGTCCCTAGCTTTCTTTTCTCTCATTAATATCTGAAACAAGCAATTGGATCCTTTTTTTTCCAAAGATTTTTTTTTTTTTAGAGAGAGTGAGAGAAGAGAGAGGGAGAGAGAGAAAGAGAATTTTTAATGTTTATTTTTCAGTTTTTCGGCGGACACAACATCTTTGTTTGTATGTGGTGCTGAGGATCGAACCCGGGCCGCACGCATACCAGGCGAGCGTGCTACCACTTGAGCCATATCCCCAGCCCTTTTTTCCAAAGATTTGTTTTTGGATTTTATTGAACACGAAGATTCTTCCTGAATTCCACAGTGATAGTGGCATGATTAAGGAATACACTTGATTAGAAAAACTTAAAATTGAAATGCCAGCAAGAGAAATCATAGATTCCCAATGCTCCTATTATCCCATAGAGAGGTGATCTGGGTCCAGGGATCACTGGATTTACCTAGTTGGTGCCTGGCCAGAGCAGAATGGGCATCTACCAGTTGGCTATTCAAGCACTACAGACTCAGGGAGGCCCTTTACATCAAGTCCTCAAATCATTTTCTGATTGTGCTTTCCCCAAATCTGGAAATTGTAAAACCATAGAAGGAAATTAGCTGGGTATGGTGGTGCATGTCCTGTAATCCCAGTTACTTTAGAGTTCAAAGCAGGAAGATTGCAAGTTCAATATCAGCCTGGGCAACTTAGTAAGCCTCTACCCCAAAATAAAAAATTTAAAAAGGCTGAAATTGTAGCTTAGTGACAAAGCACCCCTGGATTCAATCCCCAGTACAAAACAAACAAAAAAGGGAGAAAATAAAGCAATATCAAAATAAATTTATCTGACAATTAAGTCCTCTTGTAATAAAGAAAAAATTTAGTTCAATACAGTTGGGATACCAAAAAAGAATTACAAATAAAAGTAAAAGTCATTGGTAGAAATTTGTGATGTAAATAACTTCTCAAATTCATATTCCAATTCAAATTTTTAAAATTTATTCACACTCTTTGAAAACATATTAGTAGTAGTAATTACTAGCTCACACACAGATTAGTAGGTTTCTCCATTGTTTTTCCCCTTTTAATCATGAATATAGATAACATATAACTCAAAGCAGAATTAGATGCTAAAATATCTTGGTGTTTCTAAATTGATAGAAAAACCTAGAATTAAAAAGAATTTTAAGTTAGCTTTTAAGTTAATTTATTTTTAATTTAAAAAAAGAAAAAGGACAACCCTGATGGCTTGTCAGGAAGATGAAAAATAAGAGCCACTTAAAGTTCTTTGAGGTTTCCTTAATGAAGCATGAATCCCGATTGCTTTCCTTTGAAATGGCTTTAGGCACTGTTCTCCTAATCAGAGAATCCTCTGAGTGCTGTAATGGACTTCAAGAAGCATTGTGATGTTCTGAAAGGATTTGTGTGCTCTCTGTGTGTGTGTGTGTGTGTGTATTTGTATGTCAGAGGGTGGGGAGGAACTGTAAATCTGACTCTTCCTCCAGCTTTCCTCATGGTGACAATGTTTTGAAAATTGTAAAGTGTTACATAAATGTTTGAGAAATACCATTATTATAGCAGGTAAAATTCCAATTTTGTTCCTGGGCATGTAGCTCATTGGTAGACTGCTTGCCTAGCATATATGAGGCCCAGGGTGTCATCCCCAGAGTGTGATCCCCAGTACCACTACCACCAAAAAAAAAAAAAAAAAAAATGAAAGAAAAGAAATCCACTTAATTTTTTTCCTTAAATCCCATAAAATTGATGCTGAATCCCCACTCTGCAAGGCAAGTTACTACCGGTAGCCTGTGTATCTTCCCTAAGTTCTTAGGAAGGTTCTAAGGAGGAAGAAAGCCCCGGACAGAGCAAAATTTTCAAGAAGAGTGTCCCCTCTACTTTTAGGTACATATTGGTCATCTTGGAGATGCGTATGCCGGTGTCCCCAGGTTCCTTTGGAATCTTATGGCTCTGAGACATATGGACCATAATCAAACAAAGGAAGCATTGATAGCTGGGGCTAAGAAGCTGGTGCCTAAGATCATGCTTCTAGATTATGTTAGGCAAATCCTGCCTTCTGCTTGCAGAACCGTGAACCCCTTTCCTAGGCTGGGAACAATTCTCTCCTTCCTGCCATCAAGTATTTTTCTGAATCTGCCCAACCTCCCAAACCCTTATACAAAACACAGTGAGAAGTTACCTTTTTTTAAAAAAAAATTGATTTTATTTTTTAAATACACGACAGCAGAATGCATTACAATATTTATTACACATATAGAGCACAATTTTTCATACCTCTGTTTGTATATAAAGTATGTTCACACCAATTCATGTCGTCATACATGTACTTTGGATAATGATGTCCATCACATTCCACCATCATTGTTAACCTCCTGCCTCCTCCCTTTCCCTCCCACCCCTCTGCCTTCTGCCCTACCAACATCCTTAGTTGGGGAATAGTACCAAATGATCTTTTAGAAATGCAGATGTTAAAAACAAACAACAAACAAACAAACAAGTAGAGCAAAGCTCAACTAACAGTGCCTTCACAATGTCAGCACATTATTTTAAAAATGTAAAACATAGAAATAATACTATTTTCATTTCCTTGTTTGTCCACATGCAGTAAAAGAGCAAGAAAAGAAAAATTTCACAGATGAAGGAGATGTTCTATTTAATATGGGCACCAAGATTCTCCAGGAGTCTAAAAGCCAAAAACAAAAAGCAGAGTAAGTCTTTATGTAGTTACCTTAGCCAAGTTCAATTTCTAGGTTAAGTGAGGAAAAGTCCAAAACCTAGTTTATCATTTAAAGCTTATTAGGATAATACATTTATTTGCTCATAAACTTTCGTTTCTAAAGGGATCTACACATTATCACCCTAAACAAATAGGAGAATTGTGTATGAGATTGGGGTGCCTTTACATTAAGTGCAACACAGAATTTAGGCACTGATCTGAATGTTCAAGCAAAACATTGTTTTGGCTTTAATTCATTGGATATTTCAAATGAAATAAAATGTGTTATTTGAATTAGAGCAGTTGCTGTTGTAGCATGTTTTATTCTGCCGAACTGAGCATTTGCACAGCACATTATGGTTTCAAAGAATTTCCATGTGTGTGATTCTATTTTATCCTCAGATCAGTCTTAGGATGCAAGAAGCACTTCATTTTTCCCCTTTAAAAAGTTGGGAACTGAGATTCAACGATTTTAAAGTGAGGTAACTACAGATACACAGCTGAGAGGTGACCAGGCTATGGCTACAATGGTCTTACTTCATATCCTTTCTTTTTCTTTTTACTTATCTAAAGGGAGACAGAAATATCTTCTCTCTCTTCTCTCCCAGGGGAAGGGCACAACTTGAGGTTACCCTTCAAGGCTCTAACTAAGACTTTGAGATAAAATCCCAGCTCTATCATTTTACTGGCTGTGTAGTCCTGAGCAAGTTACTAAACTTTTTGTGCCCTGGATAATATAATCAAGTTCTCTGAACAGTGCCTGACACATAGTCATCAGTAGACAAGTGCTATTTTTTTTTTCTGGCCCCCTAATTGGTAAATGAAAGGCATGAAGGCAAAGAAAGCAAGTGTTTTGAAACAACGATAGAAAGAATAGACCCTGAACCTCTAACAAGACTTCTAGTTTTCACACAGATTAGGCACATTAGTCCTGGAGAAGAATCCTAGAGCTGTGGTAGCCAGCCCTAGACACAGCAAGAGCACAATCCATGAATTCTCTCTTAAAACCCAGCCTCTGAGGAGAGTGTAAGAGTAAAGAGGATGAGGGGCAGTCAACTATGAACCTGGCTGTAACATCGTCAATGTCCATTTATCAAGCACCTACTTTGCGCTAGTTACTGTTGCATGTGTAATGTTTTCCATTGCTCACAATGATACTGTGAGGCATAGATTATTATTTCCATATTATAGTACAGGAAATGAAGAGTTCAAAAGCTTCTGTAATTCTTCACCAGTGACAAAAAGAAGGAAGTAAAGGAGTTTTCTTCTCTCTAGAGGAAATTGACTTAGAAGCCTATAAAAGAGCAAGGGAAATACCCTCCAACAATGGGCATCACGCTGAACATCCCTGGGGGCTATCATGATGAGGACAGGATAAAATCAGGTCCCCAAAGTACAATCTAGCCTAACAGGGAAGTCATTTCACTAAGGCATCCACTGAGTAAATGAGTGAAAATGGCAAATTTTCAACCCCAGGGAAACCTTAGATTCTGTCTGATGGGACAAAATCATTCTTAGAATGTCCCAAGTAACTATCCACTTAGCCTTGAAGGGAGTGTTCCTCTTTGATTTAAACAATAGGGAGAAAACACAGTTTTATTAGTAAACTATCCATCAATGTGGGACACTTTATGCCAGCTCTTCTTATCTAGACCGTCTTGATTCAGTCCTTTCCCCAAAATGACGGAAGAACAGCATATTTTCACAGTAGGATAGATGCATCTATGGGTACAGGGTATCTAAAGTTGACTCTCCTGACCCTTCTGAGTTGGAAGCAATGGAGAACTGAAATCAAATCTGTTCATAAAAAGAGATTCCAGGAGTTGGTGAGAAAGCCAGGCAAAGCCCCTGTGTTATCAGGATAGCCCATTCTGTCCTTACATCAATCATACCTGTATAATCATGTCTAAGATTCAGGAAGGGGGAAATAAAAATGAATGCATACCCTACTGACTTAAGAGGAATCATTTCTTCCCATATAGTATTCTACTTCTTCTTTGTTTTGTAAAGGTATCCTACTTCTTCCTTGTTTTGTAACTTCCCAAGATGGAAGTGGCACAGATAAAAATGATATTAGTATTTTTGGCTCATTCACATCCACATTCTGGACCAATGCATTTATTCATTCATTCAGCTTCATTTATAAAATACATATATTTTGTACCAGGGATTGGACTCAGGAGCACTCTGCCACTGAGCCACATCCCCAGGCCTATTTTGTATTTTATTTAGAGACAGGGTCTCACTGAGTTGTTTAGCACCTTGCTTTTGCTAAAGCTGGCTTTGAACTTGCGATCTCCTGCTTCAGTCTCCTGAGCAGCTGGGATAATAGGCATGTGCCACTGCACTTGACCAGCTTCTTATATATGAATGGGGAACATTGTCGAATAAGTCAGCACTGTTAAAAATATAGATATTAGCCAGGCATGGTGGTGCATGCCTATAATCACAGTGGCTCAGGAAGCTGAGGTAGGAAGATTGCAAGTTCATCACCAGCCTCAGCAACTTAGCAAGCCCCTAAAAAACGTAGCAAGACCCTGTCTCTAAATAAAACATTTAAAAAAAAAGGACTGGGGATGTGATTCAGTGATTAAGTGCCCCTGAGTTCAATTCCCAGTACCAAACAAACAAACAGATATTATGCAATATCAGAGAGACAAAAACTTGTCTGAGGGAATCAGGAAACCTTAGTGACTGCCAGAATTGGTCCTTCCTTAATAATCACTGTCCATCAGCAAAGAAGGTTCTGGGAAAAGATGCCACTCCATACCAACTTATTGGTGTGCATTGATGAAGCATTTGGCCTTACCCCCGCCCCAACCCACTCACATTAGTATCCAATGCCAGATTGTTTATAGATGATAAAGACAGCTAACTGAATTTTATTGTTGAAATATTTTCAGGCTGCCCACTTTTTCCTTCTCGGGGATTTCAGCGCAGATTTTAATGTTATCTAACCAGAAGCATCTTTCCCTGGCCTTGTCTTCTGTTTCTGGTATTTTTCTGACAGGGAGGCCAGTGCCCCCTCTGACCACTGAATCAAAGGCATCTAACAAGGACTTGTTTTATAGCCTGTTGTTGCCTCCTGGTACTACATTGGATACACTATGGGATCCACCCACAGCCCATCTCCAGTTTCTGTGCCCTGGTGTCTGTTGGTACTCTTTTTGTTCCAGTAAGTTATGTAGTTGCATCAGCAAGCCATGTGACAGAAGGGCACAAGGGGGTCTGTATCCTTATATCAGGCTCTTTTCCTGATACAGAAGCAGGGTGTCAGACATTTACCTTCTTCCTTGTTTGTCTTTCAGCCTCCGGAATCTCAGCTTGTTTTAACCATGGTTAATTTCTTTCTTGATCTCCTAGATTCTGGTTTTCTACCTATTTTCATTCCACTAGAGTATTAACTATTTTAACATCTAGGACTCTGATGTCTAACTGAATGTCTCTCTGTCTGAGGGGCTTCTTGCCTGGCCTATTATACTCCAGCCTTTGCCCAGGGGCAGCCCATTTTTAGCATCAGTGTGGAGAGGCTGTACACAAAATTGAGTCTCCTGATCATTCTGAAGTGGAAGGAATGGTAGGGAGTGTGTGTGTATGTGTGTTTGTGTGTGTATTTTCCTATATTTGAGTCAAGGTCATGGATAGAGGTTAATGCTTTCTGGTTTTGCAACTACCAAAAAATAGAAGTTAGAAAAGTAAAAATAAATTCCCAAAGTACTCTTTGTCTCTGACACGTTTTGACCTTGTGATATTCTCCATCACTACTTGTTATACACATCAAGTCCAGGTGACTTTTGATTAGGACTAAGAATGCTGTGTAAGGTAATGCTATGACATCTATATTTTTAATCACTAATTTTTCATACCATTTACCACCTAATTACAGAACAATTATTGTGCCATAAAATGTTAGGATCAGTGCAATTGTCCTAATGGTAATAGCTAAATGTATTGAGTGATAACTCTGAACCAGGCACTATGCATGGATTATCTCATTTAATCTTCACAGTAACCCTATGAAGTAAGGAGAAGCTGAAGGAGATTAAATAACTTGACTCAAGTCCAGCTAATAAGTGGTAGAGCCAGGTTTCAAACCCAGGAAATCAGATTCTATAGAGCCCTGGCCATTACAGTTTTGTTTGGCTGTTGTTTTTCCAAACAGCCTGGCTTTGTTATATTGAAAATTAGTTTTGTTTCAGAAAATTATTTTTAAACATAAATAAATCACCATTTTCATAAGTTTCTTAGATGTGACATGGCAATTTTGTAATATTATTCTTATATTTCATTTTTTCAAAAAACAAATATTTATAAATAGTGGGGGTGGCTATGGGGAAGTTCACATTCTTAGAAAAATAACTAAATTTTTCACTTTATTTGGTATATAAGCTTGAGCATGAAATGGTCTATATATTTTTCTTTTTAGTGGCTTTATTATTTGTAAGATATATTTGAAATTATAATCCTATATTTATCTAGAGACAAAAGAAACCTACTGGTCTAACTAGAGATGTAATGGACTTCAGCTAAACTGCATTATTAGTATCACGACAACTGGGTCTTACTTGTTAGGGAGAAATCATATAATGGAAGGACAGAAAATTTCATTTTTGTAAATCAACCTTCTGACTTTATATTCTTGAACCAGAGCCTACATGCTTTTTGCCAAAGCAGCTGACATGGGAAATTTGAAAGCTATGGAGAAAATGGCCGATGCTTTGCTATTTGGAAATTTTGGCATGCAAAACATAACAGCAGCGATCCAATTATATGAGTCCTTGGCTAAAGAAGGATCATACAAAGCCCAAAACGTGAGTTTTGAAAGAAAATAAAACCTTAAATAGCCATATCCTGAAATAACTACAGACAAGCCACATATAAAAGGAGCTGAGCAACATATTCCCACTCAAATGCATAAACCCAGACCTACAAAGGTTACCACCAGAATGCACTGAAAAACTCCTATCTAGGCAGGAAGACTGCAGGAACCCAGGGTAAATTTTTCTAGCTCCATGGGTGACTTTCAGCAACCAAACAGAACTGCTCTTTAATCCACCTTCCTATCTTTCACATCCATGTGTGTGTTTTGACATCACTTAAGACCTCCAAACCCCTAACATAGTTAACATTTTATATAAAATGTGTTCATTTACATGAAGAAATATGAAACTGAATTTATTATCTTAGGGTGATATGTTTGCCTGATTTTTACTTTTCAAATATTTTACAAGCTAAATATGTTTCTTCTTCTATTTTAATAAATGTATTTTGTTTTATTCCAAGAATAACGTAGCCATTTGATAGAAGATCCAGAAAACAAATTAAAAAAAAAAATGAGTAAGCCCTTCACAAATCAACCATCCTGAATCAACTACTGTTAGAACTGCTTTATACTTTCACTTGGCTTCTTTCTCTGTGCATCTCTCTTTTTACATCATCCTAATTACAATGCAAGTGCATATATCATTTTATTTCTGGCTACTTTCACTTAATGTTGTAGCAAAAGCACATTTTCATATTGCTATAGTCTTTTTTCTTTTTTTCTGAACCAGACTTCAGAAAGAAGAAAGTAATCTAAAAGCCCCCACCCAGAGCTTTTTTATTTTGTTTTATTATGATTATTTTTAATCATCCAGGAAGATCCAGAATTGAGCTTTGGAGTCAAACTGACCTAAATTTGAATCCACTGTGACACTTGCTTATTGGATAATGTACTTAACAAAACCCTTTCCCCTTTCCTGCATGAGAATTTGACCTTTGGTTCACTCTCTCATTCTGTTTCCCAGGTAATCTGATAGAAATAAAATGCTATTTTTAGCTAGCATTTCTTATGATGGAAATGGTTTCTGATTGGCAAACTGCCTTGGGCGTAGGAGAAACTGTAATGAATCATTAAACCTGATAGTTGTAGTAATTCCTGTGGGGACCTTGTGTACTATGCCTTGTGGAGAAGGAGGCTTTTACATCAGGGTGGCTTTCATAGTCACCCAGTGTGGGTTTCACCTCCTTGCATGGGAGTCATCTTCTGAGGGATCAAAGATGATGGCTTCCGGAAGGGTTGTGTGAATTGCACCTGGACTTCCACAGAAAACAAGGCATGACTGCCCTGCTGGCACACTGTGGTGCCTGTACCTTATCCACCTGAATAAGTGGCAGCAAAGGTAGCCTATGGGATTCCTGTGAGTCCGTGTTTAGTTGAACCAAAAAAAGTTGGACCAGAAGACTCCTGTGGGGTGGGGCAACCTCTCTAATCTTCATCTGTAAAGTTAAGCTAATGATAAAAATTTGGGTGCCATGTCTATTTCACTGGTATATCTCTAACATTTGGCACAGTGTCTGGGACAAGAAATATAAGTTAAGTGAGTTATTAATCAATGATGAATGACTTAATGAAGTTATTATGAGAATTAAAATAATGTGTGAAGGCATTCAGTTCTATACCAGGAACACTGTAATTATTCAGGATTTTAAAAGGAGATTAGACAGGTGAGGTGGTGCATGCCTGTAATCCCAGCAACTTCAGAGACTGATGCAGAAGGATCACAAGTTGGGAGGACAGCCTCAGCAACTTAGTAAGGCTCTGTCTTATAATCAAAGTTTTAAATGACTGAGGTGTAGCTCAGTAGTAGAGTGCTTGCTTGAGCATGAGCATGAAGTCTTGGTTTAATCCCCAGCATGGCCAAAAAAAAAAAAAAATGGGGATAATGTGAAGTCATACAAAATTTCAGTCAGAGAGGATGATATAAATATGATTGTTCCCACTATTATTATTCTAGAATTTTCCCTATGACTATACAGAATTACTATTTTACAGAAGTGAGATCATATTTATTCACTGCTCCCATAATATGCTTTTTGAAACTAAAAGTTATATTTTTTTCATAATCTGCTCTTTATTCACTTAATATATTATTGATGTCTTTACATATAATACAAATAGATCAGCATTATCATTTTAGAGATTCACACAATCTTAATTAATTTATGTTATTGAATACTGTTTTTAATGAGGGCATTTTTCTTGCACATAGATGTAAAATAATTCCATAAACAGACTTGTAATGGTCATAATAAAATGTGAAAAATTATTAAATCTTCATTTTCCATATTTGGTTAACCAAAACTATAAATTTCCAAGACAAAACAAATTATATTACCACCAATATTACCACCATTTTCACCACTAAAAATTATGTCACCTAATTCCTTTTCAAAGTAGAGAACATGTATTTTGTTTTTTAGAGGGTATATAAACACATTAATTAAGTCAACAATTACTTCTTGGATACCCACTATGTGCCTAACATAATCCAGTTGATGGAGAGAAAAAGGTAAATAGATTAAAGTTTTTCTGGGTCAATCTAAAATAAAAACAAATAATTTTAGCACAATTTAGGTGGACCACAGTTAATTCATATACATAAAGTGCTTTAGGGATAGAAGAGATTCAGACTAGTTCTGCCTGGAGCAGGTAAAGGAAGTAATATTTGCCTTGAGTTTAGAAAATGGGCTCAAAGCAATATCAAAGATATTACTTGTCTATATTTTTAAAAAGCTTTTGATACAAGGTCAAAATAGGACTACCCCCCATAAAATTCTACATTAATATAAATTATACATAAAAGATATGGATTTGGAGAAGAAAATTAAAGGAATACAAATAGAAGGGTTCAAATTATCTCTGCTGATGACACAATCTTTTATTTGGAAGTCCCAAAGAACTCCATCAGAAGACTTCTAGAGTTGATAAACAAATGTGGTAAAGTAGCAGGATACCAGACCAACATACACAAATCAATCCCTCTCCTATACTTCAATAATGAAACTGCTGAAAAATAAATCAGAACACTATCCCATTCACAATAACCTAATAAATAAAACTTGGGAATTAATCTAATTAATATGAAGGACCTCTACAAAGAAAACAGCAAAAAAAAAAAAAAAAAAAAAGCAAGAAGACACAAGATGGGAAGGAAGGCCTTCCATGTTCTTGCATAGGCAGATTTAATGTTGTTTAAATGTCCCTACTTCCAAAAGCACTATACAGATTCAATGCAGTCCCCATCAAAACCCAAGACATTCTTCACAGAACTAGAAAAAAGCAGTTATGAAATTCACTCGGAATAATAAAGAGATCCAGAATAGCCAAAGCAATCCTGAGCAACTACAGTTTCACTCTAGCTCATCTGGTTATTGCATCCAGTTAATTCCTTCAGTTAATGTGATTACCTTTAGTCAGTTATACCTCGTTATTGTTACCCTAGTTAGAGTGCTTATTGTACATTCACACACCACTCTCTAATCCAATTGCTTGCCATTGGCTTTAAGGAGAATCCAATGGGAGAATACTGGCTGAGTGCTAACTTAATGCCAGAGGGAACAGCTCTACATATAAGACAACTAGCCATGTATTATCACAGTCATTTTTTTTTTAAAGAGAGAAACAGGCATTATAGGGACAGTGTTCCAGGAAATGTACAGTTACAGGCTTCAGGGTGTCATGGTGTAGTAAGCAGAGCAGGTATTCCCAAGCCAGTAGGTTTGATTGTTGATGACACCAGATTCTAAAACCTAGCATTTCTAACATCTTTTGTTTATTCTTTTGGTATCCCTGAAGAATTACTTCCCCAAATCTCAAATTTCCCAAGCCTAAAAAAAGGGATTGATAATAATATCCATAATATTTCACAAGGTTGCTGTAAGAACTAAATATTAATGAATACTGTTATAAAACAATTTTAGTCTCAACAGTTTCATCTTTGGGGACTGACTATCAGTCCTTCTTTGCATCTCAGTTCCAACACTGGCTCCTCATGACTTGTCTTTTCTGAGTCTCAATTTCCTCATCTGTAAAATGGGGATATTTGTCTAATATATGTGTGTATGGTCTCAAGGAGGATAGGGTCAGAAGAAAAAGTTTATGATCCAAAAGATCCCATGTGCAAAATTCAGCCACACTGTTTGCTGAAATGCTGAAATACAATATTGTAAGAAGCCTCTACCAAGTCCCTCTTCTGCCCTCCCTGATGTGGACACCCTTTTATTCCTCACTCAGATACTCTTCATCCAAAACTCTCCATGAACAGGAAGATTCCAGGACCCTGCTTCAGCACAACAGTTGTATTCAATTCTAATTCTAATGTGGCTTTGAGTCCATATTTTGACTACCATTTCTTCATCACTATAGGAAAATCTGTTTCCAATAGCAAGTCCTCTTGCACTTCATTTATTTTTGTACAAAGAACAACTACTTAAAGAGATTTTGTGCCACAAACAATGCTTAATTTGATGACTGATGGCTCGATCAAGCTGGATACAGGCCATCCATATTGATTACAACTCTGAAATGGGACTTCTACTATTTATGCCAATCTGATATAGGAATCTTGCCTGCACTGCTGAAAGTATTTCTGGGAACTGTGAGAACCATGTTGCAACAAAAACATGGCTAAAGAAACTGGAATGTGACAGAATGATAATGAAAAAGAATGGAGGGGGGAGGGATAGAGAGGGAGGAAGGGAATGGCAGAGGTAGGGAGAGAGAAAAACTACCAACTCTCATGGGAAATAGAAAGAAGGTAAAGAGTAATCAGTAATAATGAAATATAATAACGAGAGGAGCCTGGAGTGTCAGAGATCTAGTACAGACACAAATTAATGAAGAAAAACAAAACCAAAAAAAGATAAGAATTCATATTGGAAAGTGGCATTGAGGGGATAGGGACAATGCAATTTCAGGCTATTGTACAAAGGGAAGCTAAATGAGGAAAAGAGGCATTCTTATTTCTTTTCATTCACCTAGTAAAAATCCAAATAAACTGAAGGAAATCCTGATAAGAGCAACAAAAGTAATTAAAGTTATAAAGATAGTCCTTATATTGGTTTTCAAAGGATCTATAACAATGAGAACTAGTAATTAATAATCTTCATGAAAATGATGGAAATTGAGGATTTTTCAGTCAGATCCTCGTGGATGTCCTAAGATATTGTGTCTTATAAGGCTAGAGGTAGATAAGTTATTTATTTTTTTACTCCAGAATAGAAACTCTCTTGTCCCTTCATATTGATGAACTGTGCTCAACAGAAAGTTCGTTAATTTTCCAAACAGAAAACTAAAATTAAACCTCTTTTGCTTTAGGAATCAAGAAATGGATAATTCACATTTTATTACTCTTAACATTTAAGTTCATGATGATGATCTCTAAGTGGTAGTATTATGCATGACTATTATTTTCTTATTTAAAAAAATACTTTTCTGAGCCTGGCACTTCTTGAAGTGTTTCGTGGAAGGACTACAGTTAGTAGCACTATGCTACTAATGAAAAAGAGTCACTTTAGTATCAATCTAGTGATCAGTTTGATAATTCTAGGATTACCTGTATAGGACATTCCTCCTGGATGTTTATGTTCCTTTTCTATTAAGAGTACAGACAGTATCTGAGTTTCTCATTAGGGTTTATTCATGCTTTTCTTTGGTATGCAATTTGAGCAAAAACTAATGATCACAGGTGCTTTCAAGCCTCATACAGTAATTAAAGGAACATTGTCTAAGTTTTTTTCTCCTTTAGTAATTTCTTCTATAAAAAGGTAAAAGAAGGAATATTTAATTTTTAAATTATTATTATGGAACCTGAGTAATTTGTTTTGAAGTACAATAAAATATCCTTTACACGCAACTCTACATTTAAATCCCAACTACTGAAACAGTTCCTTAGAAACCATGCCACAATGGTCAAGTTCAGAGTCAAGTCTTATGAACAATCCAATTTGCAGAGCTTGACCTTTTAAAACCACTGCAAGTGTCCTTGCTGTCATCACTATTTTGTAACTTCCCTTTCGACTCAGACCTTTCTCTCTACTGGATTAAGATTTAATCATTCAACAATCCATCTTATTTCATCTCACCCTTATCTCTGAATTACTGAATACTAAAAACTGGTGATTGTGAAGTTGTGAGGTAACAATCCCCAAGTGTAGAGAACTAGGATAATGCTGACAATGAGCAGTATATTTTACTACTTTACAGTTCACATCTTTTGATTTCCTCTAGTTCTCTGGCATGCTTTAAGCAACATAAAAAAATAAAATGAAATGAAAGTTGAGTCCTTCATAGAATTAGTTCAAAATCATTCAGTGTTATTTTTCTATTGAAGAGTAAGTATAACCAAGGTTTGGTTATTATGGTTTTAAACCCTATTTTTTAGAGTGAGCTTTATACAGAGGAACACTCCCCTCCCCAGTCACAGTGGAATTGTAACTCCACACAATCCCTCTTTACAACTTCATGAGGTCACATATTTTCCCAGGGGGATCAGACCAAATTGTGTGATAGGCTATGCACAAAAAGATACACTATTGGTAAAAGTATCTTAAAATACAAGCTTACTGAATAGAACTGTACCTTCATTTTCTTATATAAAGGTCAGAATATTTGTTTACTGTCAAAGTTTCTGAATAACTGAATGAGATTCTAAATTGAACAAAAGAAAAAAGAGTTGCAAGAAAAATTTAAAAATCTAATATTGGCTAGAGATGTCCTTAAAAAGAACCAATTTAGCCATTTTAAAACATATATTGCAAGGGTTAAAGGAGTAAAAGGATTGCAGATGCTTGCCATTTGTAATAGCCTTTATGATTAACTTTCCTAAAAAGAGAATTTTTAAGACTAAAGAGGAATTTGCAAAATCATAGAAGATATTTTTAATTTTCAGCATATTTATATAAATGATTCATACATATTAGAGCTATTATCCTTTTGGAAAGTGAACTCTCAGTCAATTTCCTAATTTAAAAAGTAACAAATTTCTTTATCCTAGAAATTGCAGTAAAAAGTTTAAGAAATTGCTCATTTTTTTACTTGATTGATTTATTAGACCTTGATGCATCTTGACTTTAGACATTTGACAAAGTCTTACATGACATTCTCAAGAACTTGGATGAAAAAATATAAATGTGGGCTTGATAATGGTAGATGGAAAGTGGTTATAGTAAGTGATAGTTGAAGAATGGATAGGAGAACAAGCCTGGAGATTTGTACTAGTCCAGGTAGCTCACAGCAGAAAGGTACTGGAAGAAATGAATTTGAGAGATAGTACATCCCAATAAATCCACCGTAAGTTGAAAACGCATTTAATACACATCACCTGCCAACATCATAGGTCAGAAACACAGTATTCATAGAAGATTGGTTGTTTACCTCCATGATCACATGACCGACTGGGAGGTGTAGCTCACTGCTACTGTTCAGTCCAGCATACCAAGAGAAGTATTATGTCCTATATTACTAGCCAAGGAAAGGGCCAAAATTCAAAATTTGAAGTATAGCTTTTACTGAATGTATATTGCTTTATACCAGTGTAAAGCTGAAAAATCATACATAGGCTAGATCATCATAAGTTGGAAACCATCTATCCTAGACTTACAGATCCCTGCTCAGTTTAGTGCTCCATCCTGATGACTTCTTAACTGGGTTCTGAAGTTCTCAGAAAGGCTTTTGAATCATATATTATGTGTCTCTTGTGGGACGCAATCTGGGGCTTCCTATTCTTCCATTTTGCTCTGTGATTGGACTTTCACTTTTTAATCAATATGCTTCTTACTGTTTTAATATTTTATATCAATCACATTTTATTTTAAAAATATGAATTATAAATATCCAAATTCAATTTTTAAAATACTGAAAGAAAAAAAAACCTTATTTCCAGGAAAGAAAAACACATAAAGACCACTGCTGTGGTTTTATTTTCCCACAGTACCAGGGATTGAACCCAGGGGCACTTAACCACTGAGCCACATCCCAGCCCCTTTTTTTTAAATATTTTTTTTAGGGGCTGAGGCTGTGGCTCAGTGTAGAGCACTTGTAGCATGTGTGAGGCACTGGGTTCAATTCTTAGCACCACATATAAATAGATGAGTAAAATAAGGTCCATATATCTATAAAAAATATGTATTTTTTTAGTTGCTGATAGACTTTTATTTTATTTATTTACAAGTAGTGCTGGGAATCAAAGCCAGTGCCTCACTCACACCAGGCAAGTGCGCTACTGCTGAGCCCCAGCTCCAGCCCCTCCCCAGCCCTTTTTTATATTTTATTTTATTTTTTGGTACTGGAGATTGAACTCAGGGGCACTTGACCACTGACCCACATCCCCAACTCTATTTTGTCTTTATTTAATAGAGACAGGGTCTCACTGAGTTACTTAGTTCCTCACCTTTGCAGAGGCTGGCTTTGAACTCATGATTCTCCTGTCTCAGCCTCCTGAACTAAACTGCTGGAATTACAAGCGTGTGCCACTGTGCCAGCTTTTATATTTTATTTTGAGGCAGGGTCTTGCTAAGTTGCTCAGAGTCTTGCCAAGTTGCTGAGGTTGGCTCTGAACCTGTGATCCTCCTGCTTCAGCTGCCCAAGCTGCTGGATTATAGGTATGTGCTACTGCACAGGGCAAGACCACTGGTTTGATTATTATGATCTTTTCTAAAGTACAGTAAGAATTAACTTATATTCACATATATTTTACAATCCTCTCACTACTGTGACCTTTTCCAAAATCTTACAGTCTTACACTTTGTTATGGCATAAGAAAAAAATATTACAACTTATGCTCTTATGGAGCAGGTGTTTTAAGTGTGCCTTATCAATATAGATGGAATTGTGAAATAAATTGATTCGTTGAATTTCATTTTTTTCCTTTTTCACTTTAGGCATTAGGATTTTTGTCTTCTTATGGAATAGGAATGGAATATGATCAAGCCAAGGTAAAGTTATTTTTTTTCTAAAGCAAAACTGATTTCTTTAAAAGAGGCATTGAATAGAATCTATTCTTTAAATAAAGGGGCTCACTCTACTGTGATGGTTGGAAGCACCACTCAACAGAAATTAAGCATTCTTCTACCATAAATTTCTTAAAGTCTTATATTTTTGGTTCTTCCATGTAGGTAGGTAATATCTACTTTATAGGGATTTTGGGGTGATGAAATATCATATGTACTGCCCTTTTCACAGGCTCCTCAGCCTGATAACTCCCCAAAGATGGTAACCATCTCAATAAAACAGAGTGAAAAATTGGAATTTATTTTGAAATGGCTCAAGGTTCATTATGGGTAGAAGTAAAAAAGCAATGGTTTGTTTGAATTACAAATTTAGAAAACTAATATATTTTTATTTTATTTATTTATTTTTTACTTTATTTAATTTATTTATTTTTAGGCTCTCATATATTATACTTTTGGAAGTGCTGGAGGAAGCATGATGTCCCAGATGATTTTGGTTTGTAAATGAAATATTCTCGGGCCAAAGTAGGTATATTATAAAAATAGCATTAATTAAGAATATACATGCTTGTGTTTTAGGGGTACAGATATTTGTCAGGAATCAATGTTCTACAGAATTGTGAAGTTGCCCTAAATCATTACAAGAAAGTGGCAGATTATAGTGAGTAATTTTAATAATTTATTTTAAGATAAACAGACTTGGGACTGGGGGGTGTAGCTCAGTGGTTCATAGAGTGTTTGCCTAGCTTGTGCAAAAGCCTGTGTTCAGTATCCAACACTACAAAAAAACGAACGACAAACCAAATCATACTTGCCAAGGAATTAAAATTAAATTAATAAATAAATACCAGTTGACATAAACATATGAAAATATTAAAGACCTATGCTTTTAACATCTGCTATAATGCAATTCATGTAATACAGTATGGAGTTTCTGTTCCCTTAATATTTTTCAAAAAGTTTAAATGATTGTGCTTCTCTTTTATTTTTGTTAGTACATAAATCCCCAAATATTTTTGTCTTGTTCTTGTGATATTCATTTCTTAAACCAAGAATTTGAGTGTAGCACTAATAAATATTAAGCAGTTCCCCTAAATCTAACATGTAAAATATGAAATGGCTTGTTAAAAGTTCTTAATGAAATGAATGTAAGATGCATACATTAGAGATATCTATCACTGCACTTGAGAACAATTCAGGTACTCATTATTCTATTGCCCTTTTGTCTACAAAAAGAAAAAAATATAGAGCATGAGGCTGTGTTTCTAGAATCACTTTGAAAGTTGTTTGGGACATTTCATCTTGCAACATCACTGAAGTTGCTTACATAATAGAGTTTTTTAAATATAAGTCTTCCAAGAAGTGAATAATGTGAAGTCCATTTGGTTGATTTCTGTAATCAGAATGACATCTAAATATATACCTTTGGAAATATTGGGATCTGAGAAAAGAAAGAGAAAAAAACTCTTTTTAAATTCAAGATGCTGTGTATAACAAGATCATTTCATATGCTTAATAAAATGGGAATCTCTGTGTATATATTTTGAACTGCACAATTTGTTAGGTGTATTCAAACACATTTATATTATTTTCAGACTATCTGTAAGAAATAATTAAGGAGAAGTTATTATTTCTATACTTCAGTCCTAGAAATATCAGAGTTATAGATGGGGTCAGTTGTTTGCTTCTAAAATCTCTTGCTTGATCACCCTTGGCCAACATGTTCAGGAGCATCTGATATATGTTAACAATATTTACAGGGTTGCAAAGAAAAACTAGGTTTCTTTCACATTTCTCTGAACCAAATAAAATTCAGCAAATTTTTGTTTCCCATGAATCTTTCCTTTCTGTCAAAAGATCAGATTTCTGTACAATTTAAGCAGTATAAACCTAACACTGTTTCTTCTAAGTTGACTGTTATCTCTTGCAGCCTGAGTTTTCTAGCTGTTCTCTGGCTTGTTTCTATTCACAGTTGCTGACAATTTGGAAAAAAGTGAAGGTATTCCAGTGGAAAAAGTGAGACTAACTGAGAGACCTGAAAATCTGAGTTCTAACAGTGAGATATTGGATTGGGACATATACCAATACTATAAATTTTTGGCAGAAAGAGGAGATGTTCAGATACAAGTAATGTATACAGATGAGACTGAATTCTTAGAACATGCAAATGAGAGGGACTTGGTTTCCTCTGAGTGCTAGGGGGGTTAACAGTGCCCTATCCTGAATGGGAATGGAAAGAGACACCCTCCCCTCTTTGCCCTACTCCTATTTTGTCTCCTGTCATTTGAAGTTCTTTTGGTCTATTGAAGAGCTAGTTGCCATAGTAATAGCAAAAATTTTTTTTCATTTCTTTCTGAAAAAATTCTTTTTAAAAAAACCCTAGATTTTAATTATAGAAGAAAAAAAAAAAAGCACCATCCAATGTTGGTTTTAATACAAATGAATTCCTACAAGGATCCAGGAGCATTCTGTCTCTGGGAATGGAACAGCATTTGTGTGACCTTTGCGAGCCAAGAATAAAGGAACCTAGGTTCATGTGTCTGGGCATTGCTGTACACCAGCTACCAGGCTTCCTGCCACTTGAGGAAGCCATATGCCCAAGAGCAACCAATTACCCAGTATAAGATAGAGTCTGGAATGTTTCCCTGCTTCTTTCAAAACATGTCTACTGCATCAAACTGAATCAACATGCTGTAGTAAAATCACCAATGTTTTCTTTTATCTAAATTAATATTACTGCTTAATCATTTTTAAAATTCATTATTCCTAGGTATCTCTTGGACAATTACATCTAATTGGGAGGAAAGGTCTAGATCAGGATTACTATGTAAGTCAATCTCAAAATTCAGTCATATGGGGTGGGGAGGATAGTGATGAAGGAGGCTGGTGCAACAGTTAAAGGGGAAGAAAGAAAGGTGGAAGAATTGCTAAGGAAAGCACCCCTGCTGTTTCCTTAGTCAGATCTGCTTGCTAGCTTCTGTGGAAGAACAAAGTTCACCACAGGGAGTGTTTTCCTAGCTGCTTTGAAGTACAAAGGGGTAGGAACTTCTGAGGAGCATTTGGGGAGGTATCCATGCTACAACAGAACTGTTGGACTATGGTTAGCAATTCTGCAGAAAGTCCACCAGGGAAGTTCCTGCTGAAAAGCCTGAGGACCACACTCATCCCTCTTTGGTTTAATCCGAGGACTCACTGCTTTTAATATAATTAAAAATATGTTAAACATCTGTAAATTTGCAAAACTCCTTTAAATCATTTTGCATAAACTTACCTTATCCTAATGAGGTTAGAGGATTAATTAACCACTCAAATTTAGAGTAGAGGAAGAAAAAGAAAAGCAAATAAACTTGACCTGCACAGGATCATCCTCAGTAAGATGCCAGAGTACAGGAGAAGTTTTTGTCTGTATTATGATTGCGGTTTCAAAGCCCTAATCATATCAAAGACCTAGGAAAATAATTGGAATTCTTTTGAAAAGATGATTTTATAGCCCTTGTCATTTTTATGGGAGCTATGCACTCATTGTCTCAAAGGAACACAAACTATTCAACATAATCTCAATGGCTAAGTGATGAAAATTACTCCTTTATAAGGCTGTTACATAAAAAAGGATCTGTTATTATTTTCCATTTCACTTTATATTGGTATTTTATGAATGTCTTTGATACTATATTTTGTATTTTATATAAGGTACAATAAGCATCAGGTAAATATCAAATTTAATTTCATAAAATGTGATACAATACATAGCAATTTAAATTAGCATTTAAATTCCAAGATAGTTCAATTGAAGGTTTTCAGATTTCTAAAATTCTAATCATAAATAAGCTTTTAGCTTCTTAGATGGAAAGTTCTGAATTCATAATATTACTCCAATATCAGATTCCAACCTGCAATGAGTTTCTCATGTTAATCACAGGATGCATAACTGGGAAGAGTTTCTCATTTTCCAAAAACATGAACTGTGGGTGTCAAGTCACCCATACCTCAACCATAAGGATGCCACACCAATTTTGTACAGCACAATAAACCCTATAAAGTTATGTACTTCCAGTCAACCCTAACAAGCCATGAACATCCAGATGTGAGCTGAAGCCACCTCAGGTGAGAGTGAAGTATAAGCCCAGGGCCAGCACTGAAGGATTCCAGGGCTGTAGTGGCAACAGCCCAGCAGCTGGTCATCACCAGGCACTTAGTAAGGCTTTTTCACAGAGGATGTCTTATATGTTTTACAAATGAGGACCTGAAGCTGTAGAGACAATTGCTTCAAGGCTCACAGCTGGAATGTAAGGTTGTTTATGCAGAATTTGAACTCAGACCTTAAGCATTCCAAACCTATGCTCTTCCTGTTAAACTTTATATCCTTATGACCTAAGCCCCCCAAAAGGAATCCTCTATCATCTGTTTCTCTGTTTACAAAGCAAGAAGGAATAACATGATCTCAAAGATTCCTTTATCTTGGGTTGGGCTTCTTGCTTCCAATTCAGACATCCCAAGAAGGCAAATTATATTCAAGAACTATTCTAGTGGCTCAGGCTGTCACTCTCTGGGTCAACTCAGGCTGGTCTTTTCTTCTTTCCTCAACCTAATAAATCTGAACTTGATAGGAGGCTCCAGTTAAAATCTCAAACCTTAAGACTGAGAGGTTTATGTATCAGTTATCTTAATCTGCATGAAAAAAAAAACACTCCAAAATTAGGTGGCTTAAAACAACAGTCATTTACTTAATTCATGATCTGGAGAGGCCAGTGATTTTGGCTATGCTTGGTTTAACAATACTGGTCTGGGCCAGGCTTGGCTAATCTTAGCTGAACTTGCTCATGTATCTGTAGTTAGCTAGAGTATTAGCTGGAGGTACCTGGTTTATATTGGTTTTATCTGTTATACCTAGATTGGCTAGAGCCTCTCTTCAAGTGGTTTCTTTCTCCAGCCCTCTGATCCTAGCTTTTTACATGGCAGTCAAAATTTCTAAAAAACCAAGAGCAAAAGTCTCCTGACACCTCAGATGAGAACTCATCTGAGCAAGATTGAAGGGACAGGGAAGTGGACTTCTCTTAGAGGGCAGAGTAGCAAAGTATTGTTGTCAGTTTTCAAAGTTCCCATAATTTAGTGGCACCAGAATCAACTTGGAGGGACAGGGGAGAATCATAAGGGAGAGGGAAGATAAAAGTATAAACCTCATTTCTGAAAGGCAGCTTTAAACTATGCCAGGATTCTCATCCTCAAGTTTTATCTCCTCAGAGAAAATTTTGATTGACCTATTTTTCTATCACTTATCTTACCACAGTTGTTAATTTTCCTCATAACACAAATAACTCCTTGAGTTGTACTGATTTTTTATTATTATCTATGTCCCCACAATGCAATAAACGTTCTTGTCTTTTTTACTATGTCCTTAGAATAGTGCCTGCTGCACTTAAGATGCTTAAATGCTAAACATTATATGTTCCTTTTCACCTGCAAACCACCATTTGAGTCAGTATGCTGTTTTAGTACACCAAAGAAATTATTAGTTAAAGGCTCTTTGTAAGTGCAAAGCCCAAGTTTACTGCTTAGTCAATATGAAAATACCTGGAAATAATTACCTTGCCTTTCCCCGACTTTTCTCACTTTGGTTAAATAAACCTCTCTTATGAGTGGTCAACATAGGCAACATTTTTACCCTTCTCCTGACCAAATTCTTAGTTATTGGAAAGTATTGTATATGAAATTCTTGATTACATTATCTTTAATTTTTCTACACATAAATTTTAATGTCATTTGCATTCCTAAATGCAAATGGATCCACAAGTTCAGATGAATTGGATTAGAAAATCAGGGTTTTTGATTGCATATTATTAAAGAAGATAAAGCATAATTAAATTAAACCTGGCAAAGGAATAACATCAAATATTTAAGGAAAAATGTTTTATTTACCCTGCCATTCACTTAAAAAAAAAAAAAAAAAGCTAATATCATCCCATTTCAGGATGATTTACAGAGGTTGGGATAAAAGAAGTGTTCAAAATGTTTTTAGAAAAATACATTTTCTTGTCACTTCTTTCTAGGGGAAATGTTATAAACTGATTAAACTATGGATTTTCTTAGAGCAAATGAAAAATCATACTCATTTTTTTTAAAGACATGAGTCTTAAAGGGAAGTACTGGGATATGAAAAGTACCAAATTATACAATGTCTCTATATGAATATACTACAATGAATCATAGACAGATAGATAGATAGACTGACTTAATTATAACACATTAATTAAAATAACAATAAAAAGCCAGGTGCAATGGCACATGCCTGTAATCCCAACAGCTCAGGAGGTGGAAGGATCAAGAATTCAAAGCCAGCTTTAGCGAAAGCGAGGTGCTAAGCAACTCAGTGAGACCTTGTCTCTAAATAAAATATAAAATAGGGCTGGGGATGTGGCTTAGTGGTTGAGTGCCCTGATTTCAATCCCCACTACAAAAAAAAAAAAACCCAAAAAAACAAAACAAAACCGTAAAAATAATAGATGGGAGATCAGTGGAATAGAGCAAGTGAATCAGGGGAGGAAGGAGGAAAGGGAAAAGGAAGATGCTGAAGAATGAGATTAATCTAATTATATTATGTGCATGTACAACTATGATATAATAAATCTTATGTATAATTATAATGCACCAATAAAATAAATACATCAAGACATGAGTTCAAATACTAAAACATCACTTAACATAATTATCTTTCAACCAAATTATTTATTTATTTATTTATTTTAAAGAGAGAAGAGAGAGAATTTTTAATATTTATTTTTTAGTTTTCGGTGGACACAACATCTTTATTTTATTTGTATGTGGTGCTGAGGATCGAACCCAGCGTCCCGTGCATGCCAGGCGAGCGCACTACCGCTTGAGCCACATCCCCAGCCCACCTAAGAATTTATTATCTTTCAATCTAAGATACCATCAATTGTAAGACACACCATTATTTTATGTTCTACTGAGAAAGAAAAAACTGCCAAAATAAATTATAATATGCTATTGGTAGAAGTGTCCTGATTAAAATGAGATAGGGGGAGAGGTATAACTTAGAATTACTAAAACATGATGATAGGTGTTCAGTAAATATGTGAAGGATGGATGGGTGGATGGATGGATGGATGGATACAAAATACCTGATCTAAACTCTTTAAGATCAAGAACTCATATTGGCACATATATACCCATCAAAATTGCTTGCATGGAACTTTGACATGGTATCTAGTACATTTTTACATAATGGAAGTAACACCTTTAAGGGCAAGTAAATTTTAAAAGAACAGATAATTGAAATTCCAAGAAAGCCATGACAGTGAGCAGTATATGAGAAAAATTCAACTTTTGATCTTTCTGGGAACACAATATTGAAGGGTGGAGGAAATCCCAGTTTTATTTGCTTCTGGGGACTATAGTATTTTCTTTTAGAAGTTCAAATCTGTTTTCCCAGAATGAAACTTTTTTTAGAACTCTCTATTGAGAGTTCAATTGAGACAATTGAGAGCCAAATTACTAAACTGGACTTTGAAAATAATTTCACTGCCTCATAATACTTGAGCTGGAAGGACCCATCAAGATTAAAGTCCAGCTCCTTCGTTTTAGAGATTCATAAACATTTATTCATTCACTCACTCTTAAAATATTTTCTGAGTGCTTAACATATTGCAGACACTATGCTAAGTATGGAGGATCCAACATTCAGTGAGACAAAGACATTAAATCAGTAGATGAATGTCATGGTAGAGACAGGGCAGGGTGCCCTGAGAGTACAGAGGAGCAGAATCTAAATGAGGAAACCAAAACATGGAGATAATGGGACTTGAATAAATTATGCACTTATCTGGGGACATATTCAGGTCTGGCCCATAGAGATAGTCATAAGAAGTATCTTTTTTATATTAATATTCTCTAATTTGGCAAATCATACATTACTATAACTTTCTCCCATCCAATTGACACTTGGATTATAACAAATGTTTTAGCTTTACAATTCCCTAATGCTCACAAATTTCCAATAACTTCTGCATTTTGCCAAATAAAATAAAAGCCTGGTATTCAAGGCTAAATAAGGCCCCTTCTAACTTTTACAACTTTTAGATTTGGATGTTCTATTTCAGCTATGCTATTTTTATTTCCTACTTTTAAAAATTTCCCTACTCTTTCCATTTTCCTACTATTCTATTTTACGGACACAGCTTGGTTCCTATCACCATTCCCTGGCCCCTGACATTTCCCTAGCCTGTAATGACCTCTGTATTGGTGACTCATCTCCAACTTAATCATTTTTGCTTTATTGCTTTATACCATAGAGGCAGGGTGCCAAATAATGGGAATTTTATTCAGGCAGGTTATGGGACTCCAGTACTAGCCACATGATTCTAGGTGCCATAAAATAGTATCAGATATTAATAACCTGCTTCATGGTGATATTGTAAAGATCAGGAAAGAAATGGTTTGTAAACCCGTATTAGAAAATTAGGTATAATTTCTATTATCTGTTACTCTACACCTTTCTAATTCTTTATGGCATTCCTTTGATCTCATCTATCACCTACACCTGTATTGCTATTAACATATATTTTTTTCTTCTCAGCATCATTGTCAGGGAGAAAACATGGTCCTTACATTGATATATGAATCACCTATAATCCATAACATACCACCATGCATATATCAGATTTCAATCAAGTTTTTGAAAAAGTATAAATGAAGATGTATAAATGGAGATGGATGGATGAATGGATCCATGATACAATGAGATTCAGCAAAAGTGGCGTGTGTATGTATGTCCACAAAGCAGACTGATTTTAGTAACAAGGGTGTGGCTCTCAAATAAGTTGGCAACGTGTCTAGAGCAAGTTTTTGTATAAAGTTCTGCCTGGCTAGGCGCACTGGCACACGACTGTAATCCCAGCGGCTTGGGAGGCTCAGCCTCAGCAACTTGGAGGCACTAAGCAACTCACTGAGACCCTGTCTCTAAATAAAATACAAAATAGGGCTGGGGATGTGGTTCAGTGGTTGAGTACCCTTGAGTTCAATCCCCAGTACCAAAAAAAAAAAAAAAATTGCCTGCATTTCTTCCTCAAACATTCTCTTCTTTTTGGGAAGGAACATTCTTACACATCAACCCAGTCAAGACCTGTCAAAGAACAGAAGAATTGTGTCCTAATAAGTCACTTTGGAAAGTGTTTTTATGTCTCGTTCCTGGGGCTGATCTCTTTTATTACTTCATGTGGTTTCTTCTGAAAGGATTTTCTAGGAGGTCAGGACGAGGCCTAGAGAATGTGGTAGCAAGGGACAAGTGCAGCCCTATGTGTTCTAGACTGAGTGTTTCATTGAATGTCATGACCTAGACAAAAATCAGAGGCTTTGCTCGCCCCCTTTAATTTGATTTAGAAGAGATTGCCTTGAAGCTTACCTCTGCAGAAAGACCTAGTCTCAGCAGGCAGCCAGGTATGTCTGGTTTTATTTTATCTTAAAAACATTAGGATTCTGCTAACTGTAGTACAAACTGTCTTATAAAATAAGTACACAGTGTTAACATAAACGCCTATATTTTTAAAAATAATGAACTATTTAGCTCTATAACTGGGATTTATCTCTTCCTTACAAGCCACATGCCTATCATGCCTTCCCAAATGTGAGAAATGAATCTTCAGCTTCTAAAATTATATATGTGAGATAAATATATATAATCATACATATATATGTGATATATCTCCCACTCTTCAGAATATATATATGTATGTATATAAATATTCTCATATATATATATTCTGAGATATATATTCTCCCTCTCCTCTTTATGCCTGAAATAGCACTTGGAATCGTGCCCTGAAAAAAAGTGGCCATTTTAGATATTTTTGAATGCATATTGAATAAATAAAGCATGGTTCAAAAGGACACTGCGTAAGATTTATTTGTGACTGGAAATAATACTGTTCCTTTTCTCTCCAGAAAGCATTATACTACTTCTTAAAGGCAGCAAAGGCCGGGAGTGCAAATGCCATGGCATTTATAGGAAAGGTACATGCTTCAAGTTGGTCGATATTTTTCATTTCTTAAAAATCTAAGAAATGGCCAGGTCTGGTGGCACCCACCAGTGATTCCAGCTACTTGGGAAACTGAGGCAGGAGAATCACAAGTTCGAGACCAGACTGAGCAACTTGGGAGAACTTGTCTCAAGAAAAAATTTAAAAGAGACTTCAAGGTGTAGCTCAGTGATAGAGAGCTTACCCAGCATTCATAAGCCCTGGATTTGATCCGGAGCACTGAAAAAACAAACAAGCAAGCAGCCTAAGAAATGAATGGTACCAGTTAAATGAACTTAGTGTAGGGTGACAGAACTGCCACCTCTTTCATGGAAGCAGCTGAGGGCTATTCAGATGCAACTTGAAGGTGGTTTTCTTGAGTTGACAGGTTGGGAGGAAGCTCCATCCACCTTTATCTGAGGCAGCAGGAATAGCCTGAAAATGAAGCTGGCTTGGGGTTCCTCTGAGACTAGGAACATTCCCAGCCTCAGCCCTATCAGGTTTCTCCCACCCTTGAAATGAGACCCAGTTCTGCACTAACCAAAGTCTATCCTTATGCCACCTCTGCTGGGAGTCCCCTATGACTGCTAAGCAGGCTTTGTAGAGGATTTTTCTAGAGAGAAGTGTTCTCCCTCTTCAAAGACCACTCCCTCCCACCTCCCCAGTGATGCCCTTGGCTCCCTGCAGCCAATTTGCATTAGTAACCAAGAGGATAAGTGCCCTGTTTCCAGAAAGGCTACTTACAGTAATTAAGATGCAAGAAACATGAGAAAACACAAATAAGGTCCATTTTTTTTGCCCTTGGGCAAGGTCACTTTGGAATATATGTAGTAGATGGTATCTTTAGTCTTTTTTGTTTTATGTTTTAAATTAAGGCAAAATTCAATTAGCTTAAAATTAACTTTCAAAGTGTACAATTCAGTAGTATTTACTATATTCACAATGTTGTGCAATCATTAACTTTATTTAGTTCAAAAATATTTATATCACCCTGAAATTCTTTTGTTTTTTACACCCTCTTCTACTTTTTTCCTAGATGTACTTAGAGGGGAATGCTGCTGCACCTCAAAATAATGCTACTGCCTTTAAATACTTTTCCATGGCAGCCAGTAAGGTAGGTCCTCAAATTACTGCTATAAACACATAAAATTTAATTGGCTTTTGTTAGTATATAGACTGATGCCCAAGAGGTGACTTTGAAGTCCCAAGCCCAGATAATGGGTCTGGAAGCTTTGTGTCTTAGAGAAATGAGTGGGTTTGATAATAAAAGATGGGTTGTGTGGAGAAGACACCATTTGTCTTATTGGTAAACAAAAAGGAGAGTGACTTGTGCTGCCCTCCTTGGGGCTAGCAAAAACCCAAACAAAAGTTCTGCTTTCTTTTCCTCTCTGTAGTAGGTGATGCTTTCTAGCTCAAGAACAGGAAATGAAAAAGATGGAGAGAGAGGAAGGGGTAGCTCAGTCAATAACTGCAGTAAGTTCAGGATGAAGAAAACCAGGGAATATCCAGTTTTCTCCTGTCATATCTCACCCAATAGCCAGAGCTCTTCCTGGCCCAGGAAGAAGGTTGTCAGGAAGGTGGTCAGGGCAAGGAGATCAAGAACATGGTAATGGAGACAGAATTCCTGACTTGAATGTCAGCCCTGCAACCTACTTTGTGACTGTGACTAACCTATTTAAACTTTTTGTGCCTCACTATCCCAAAAATAGCAAATAAAAAAATTTTCTGGATAACATTGTCATCAGAATTTAAGACTTGCGTGCGCGTACACGTGAGTGCATGTGCACACACACACACCTCGTATCAAAATACTTAAAGCAGTGCTCTTGGCACATAGTAAGTGCTGTGAATCAGTTATTATCTTTTGAGGTTTGAGACCAGTTAGGTAGACTGAACTTAGAAATATAACCAAGGTAGAATGGATTGGAACTATGAGGGAATACAGAAATGGTGTAACAGTTGGCCCTGTGTATACCAGGTTGTATACCCATGGATTCCAACAACCATGTATCAAAACAAAACAAAACTGTGTTTTAGTTAGCTTTTACATCCCTATGACCAAAATATCTAACAAGAACAACTTAGAAGTGGAAAATTTGGGGCTCACAGATCAGAGGTCTCAGCTCATAGATGGCTGACTGCATTGCTCTGGGCCCAAGGTGAGGCAGCCCAACATGGGGGAAGGGCCCAGTGGAGGCAGCACATCATGGGGGAAGGGCCCAGTGGAGGAAAACTGCTCAGCTCATGATGGGGGGTCAGAAAGCAGAAAGAGGGGAAGAGGCCATAAGGGAAATGAACCCTTCCAGGGCACTCCCCCAGTAACCCACCTACTCCAGCCTAGCCCTACCTGCCTACAGTTACCACCCAGTCAGTCCATTCAAATTAGTATGGACTTATTGATTAGTTTACAGCTCGCATAATCTAATCACTTCACTTCTGAATATTCCTGCATTAACAGGAGTTTTTGGGGGACACCTTATGCCCGAACCATAACAAATTGCATTTATAGTGAATGAACTTGTACAGACTTATTTTTTCTTGTCATTCCTTAAATAATACAGTGCAGCACCTATTTACATAGCATGATATTAAAAATAATTTAAAGGGCTGGAGTTGTAGCTCAGTGGAAGAGCGCTTGCCTGGCGTGTGTGAGGCACTGGGTTCGATTATCAGCACCACATATACATAAATAAAAGTAAAGTTCCATCAACAACTAAAAGAAATATATTAAAAATAATTTAGAGGTGATTTAAAGTATAGAGGAGAAGGTACATAGGTTATACACAATTACTATGTCATTTTACATAATGGACTTGAGCACCTGTGGATCTTGGTATTTCTGGGGGTCCTGGAACCAAACTGCTTCATACTGAGTGATGACTGTGATATACATCACTTGCTATCAAAACCTTTGTCCTGGTACTTAGCACCAGGAAGCTGTTATCGGTCAAGTAAAAAATTAGTTAATGATTCTGACCCTTTAATACCTAAAGAATGTCCTCATCCCAACAACCATCAACCTAATTTTGGCAAATGGCCTTTATAAACTTTCTATCCACCACACAGTAGGAATCATTTATTTGTCTTAGAATTTTGTAGTGCAACACTGGCAATAAAGATGTCTTCAAATTGAGGAGTATTTTCAACCGTTCTCAGTTTTTAAAAGCCTACACGCTGCTTAGGAGCCTATTTATATATGACTAGCACCTCTAGCTGCTGCTCTTGTGGTGTAAATTACTGGGAAAGCTAGTACTCTGCTCCTCTCCCTTGTAATTTATATGAAATTGTTGCTCAGCAAGACAGTCATCTGGAGTACCATTACATTAGAAGGACAAGGGACAGCAGACAGAAAAAAAAGGTAACTGAGGAAGATCTCCTATAAACTGGCAAATAATGCTGATTTGTCAGTCCAAAGGAATAATGCTGGGAAGCTGGGTATGTAGATTAAGTCAGTTCCCTAATTATTCAGGGCTTTGTAACTAGCAGTGATATGTGCCACCCCATTCAAAACCTGAGCTTCCTTTTTTATGAAAGAAATATAAAATTGTACTTAAGGTAATTATTCTTAATGACACTGGGTGGATACAGACACATACTCCTTGGTCACTGTGTGAACAATCTGTTAGATTTCTCATGCATATTTTCCTTTTACTACTTTAAAAAAACATACTACTACTTAATTTTGTTTTGAAAGTAATATCAGTATCAGGACATAAAGTTACAGACTTTATACCCACTTTGGTCTAATTTACTTTAAACACTAATGTTAAAAAACAAAAACAATGTATGTAGAAAACAATTTAAAATCTAAAAATTATAGGACATTAAGCCTGTATGGGATCATATGCCTTAGACTCTTCTTACACTTCTGAACATATCCAGCCCAACCCCATATCCATACTTTTGTCATACCTACTCCCTTGCCAGATTCCCCCATTCCAGATCCTATAGAGCTCAATCCTCTTTCTCTTTAGAAAGCCTCCTCACCCCTGCTGACTCACATCATCTTTCCCTTCTTAATTCACCCCACAATCATTCTCTACTGCTGGGATTCTGCAGCTTTCTATCTTCTGGCTTCTGTCCTCCTGTCCGAAGGCCATATCTCCTCAACTCAACAAGGACATAGCCAGGGTTCATTAAATATCTGTCTAATAAAGAACTATCTTCTCCCTAGGTTCCTGTCAGTTAACCTAAGCGCTAATGTGGAAGTTGTATATTCTGGTGGCTTAGCTGCACATATGTTTTATTTGGCCCAGAAGGAGTTTGAAAAACAAATAAATTTCACATTGAAATTTGGACACTGAGATTCTTTTGTGATTCATAAGCATGATGATTGAGTGTTCACACTACTGTGTGAGATGGGCCTTCCTCAAAATTTGTTATGATGCCAGCATATTACTCATCAGATGTGAGAAAAGAATTGATTTGGACATTCAGATTTTCTTGGAAAATGGCAAGAGTGACTGTATAAGAGTGCTATTTTGTGTGACTGGCTGGATCAGAGTGGTCGAGTAGCTGCTGCTGTCTTTGGACAGGGGAGGCACACTCTGGTTTGCATTGGACTCCACCATTCTCTCCTGGCTTAATATACTTCTTACATTACCAGAATGGCTCCTGCAGATACCTAAATTGGCTACCCTTGACCTGAATGTTCTAAACAAGCACTCTGGGCATTAAACAGGTGATGAGTAGTCCAAAGAGCCTCAGTTTCCCAGGGACTCTCCTAAAGAAGAAAAATATTTGTTCCAGCTATTCTAACTTTCTTCTTCTTCTTTCCCTTTTTTTTTTAACCTTCTCTCATTTTCATCCCCTTCCCTTCCATTTTTCTCAACATCTAAATGAAGTTAATTAGAAGAAGATAGGCTCACTAGACTTTGCCAAACCCATCATATAAAGTCTTAATACTCCTTAAATAGCATAACCCATGATTCCTAGAGATAAGTCACAGGTAGACATGGTCAGGAGAGAAAAGGGAAGAAGAGAACGGAGATGCCATTTATTTTAAATACAGATGGATTATCCTTAAGAACTCTTATAATACTGGGTCCTTTGATTACATGCATAGGCCCAAAGTTTGGATTCTTGAAACAGTTTTGAAATGGAAAGAACACTCTGCTTGGATCCATAATAACCAAATTTAGATGGTAAGAAGAAATTCAGAAAGCTTTCTATTAGAACTTAAGTTCCTGAGGAAATATCATAAACCTGCCAAACAAACATATAGATATGCTGAAAGCAAGCCAGGGGGCAAAGCCATGGCTCCTTACACAGTTACCTGAGAGTGAAGCACATGAGGGGAGATAGAAAGAAAATGCGAGTTTTCTAGTTGAGGAAGTCACTTTCAAGGTTCACTCTTCCCCTGGGATTGATATGCTAAATACCAATATATTTGAACACTTGCTTGTGGAACACTGTCTTCTAGTACTAAATGTGCTAAATGTACTCAGAGACATTAATCAGAAAATAAATGGTAATTAATTTAGCATCAAGTGGAAAAGAAAACATTGTTTGACACTATGAGCTGTCAAATTTGAATGAAGGAACATATACCAACAATGCTTCACTATCTGTAGTGGCTGGATTTAAATCCACAGAGTCTCTAAAATGTTATTTGGCTATTTATGGCAACCTCCTTTGACCAAAGTAGGAAAGAACTGTCTGGATACACTTTCCCCTTTTGGAAAGCTCCTGTATGTCCTTCAAGATCCAACTCAAATGTCTTCACCCTGACAATTCAATCCTCTTCAATTCCTAGCCTCTCCAGGCATTTGAATGTCCTTCTTCTAGGTGAGCACAACTCTCTCAATTGATTTCACTTTAGAAGTTAGCACATTTGACATGACTTTTAGAAATCTGACCCGTCCCTCTGATATGGCTCAGAATCCACAAGTCTGTAAGTCCTCAAGGCAGGGATCACAGTTCATTCATTTTTAACCTCTTACTTCTTCTGCCCAATGCCTATTATGGAATCACACACATAACAAATACTAAATGAGCATTGGATGAAAGAATGGAGTGAGGATTTGACATTCTTTTCCCTCTTATTTTCTTGTCAGAGGGGGTTATGAAGGTATAAAAGATAAACTAGAGAGGGTCAGAATAAGTTGCCAGCTGCCTGATTAACCTGCCTTGATTAATCTCTTACTGGGTACATTTCAAACATTTTAAATGACTTTGCAGTAATTTTCCTTATCATGAATTCTTCTGGGATTTTACTTAGATTTTTGTAACTCTTCTAGGGCAATGCAATTGGTCTTCATGGACTTGGTCTCCTTTACTTTTATGGAAAAGGAGTTCCTGTGGTAAGTTAAATAATTTCATTATATTTTCAACATATTTCTAGCAATTTATAAGGTAAAATTCATGGTAATTCATGAATTTATGGGAATTAGTCTCTATTACCTGGTTCATCAAATTATTATATTTGATAATAGAGAAAAAAATAATTCAGTAGAATCTTTGCCAAAAAGACGTAGGAGAATAAGCTTGTGACAAAAATAGCAACTTTAATTATATCTTAGAATCATAGATTCTAAATAGCCTTAGAAATATCTGTCTCCTGAGGATTTTATTGATAGAGAAATTTGTCATCTTAGTTTAACATGTCTTTTGAGTGACCTTCTCCTGACATCTAAGGAAACCTACTGACAATGTAGAAAAATACGTAATTTACACGGAAAATGAGATAATTATTTCCTAATAGAATCTAATGTAATAATAAAATAAAATGTATTACATTTCTGATGCTATTTTAATTAGCCCATATGGCACTCTTTTAAAAAGTGGAAGGCAATTGTTACCATGGAGTTATACATATAGCTTTGAGTAATAGAGTGTAATTATCTTGCAGAATTATGCCGAAGCACTTAAATACTTTCAGAAAGCTGCAGAAAAAGGATGGCCCAATGCACAGTTCCAGTTAGGCTTCATGTACTACTGTAGGTACTACAAATACAGCTGCTTTATATAGAATGACATATGCATTAGCAAGTCTGCTTCTTTTACAACAAAAACCAAATAGTTGGTGTGAGTGGTTTAGAAGGAACAGTCAGGCAGCAATTTGAAGAGGGATTTGAGGAAGACTGAAGAAAAGGCATCAATTTGAGGTTCTTGTGTTAGCCAATGCACATATCCAAAAGTATGAAACTCACGAGAAAAGTTGAAATTGAAGAGAAAGATTTAGGAGGCATCAACAAAATAGGTGTGAGTTAAAAGTATCTGAGACCACAAAGGGAAAAGAGAGTATGGAGAAAAGCACAGTGAGGTCTGGTCAGAAATCCGGTGATCCTCCAAGTCATTTTTAAAGGCTAGGCAGAGGAAGAGAGATCATCAGGAAGAATAAAACAGCATGGTCAGAGGGACAGGGGGAAAAATGATCTAAAAAAAAGCCAAAGAGGCAGAGCTTTCCATAGAGAGTAAATGAATGAGCAGCAATATGGAGAATCTTGGTGAGAATATTAGACTGTTTGGGGTGGAAGCCAGATGACAATGGGTTAGAGTGTGAATGGAAGGTGAGGAAATACATGAATTAAAATGTTCTTATCAAAAATGCATCTTTAAAGTAAAAGAGAGATGGAATTACAGAACAAAGGGAACGAGAACCAAGAGCAAGTTGTTTTTGCATGAGAGACCTAAACATAATTATAATTGATGAAAAAAGTTTCTGGAAAAGTTAATGGTATTAGGATCTGATTGGGCCCATGTCAGTGGACACCTCATTAACCTTGATAGAGAAGTAGGATTTCTCATCCTTGAAGACTGGAAGGAGGGAGGAAAGGATGGTGCAATGTAAATATGGGGCAGGAGGATGGGGAGAGAGGCAAGTGAGGAAGGACAATATGAAGTTTTCCTCAATAATTTCCTAGGTAAAAAATTGTCTTCTGAAAGCAGAGGTAGAGAGGTTGGGGTAGAGTGTTTGTAATAATCTCTCTGGAGGCTGAAAGAGTGGTCAGGACAAATACTAAGAGAACTGAACATATCCCCACCAAGTCCTTCATATCAGAGGTGTACCAGAATGCAGCTGACCATATCATAAATGTCAAATATGGTCAAGAGGTCAGCTGACATTTTCCAAAGTAGCTCACAGAAAGGCTCTTTTTGTTTTACTATATTGGGGAGAGCATTGAGGACTTTTTCTTATAGGTCATTCGAAGTCCTCAGGTCAGGATCTGTCATTCCTAAAGCTCCCAGGGAAAGAGTAATAGTAATCCTAATGTATATTAAATCTTTTTATGCTTTCACTCATTTAATCCTCTCAACACACCAGGTAGTGGTGTGGGGGGCATAGCACATTGTTTATAGATGAACAAACTGAGTTGGACATGTTGTCCAGGACCACACAGTTAGTGGAGCTAGGATTCAAGCAATGTGCCTCCAAAGCTTTTACTTTTAATCACTACATGGCATTGCCTCTAAAGGCCAAGAAATGTTAGAGCTGGGAGGAAGTTTAAGGACCATTTAGGGAAAGCTTTTGCAAGTAAAATGCCAGGTGTGTCTAACTCAAAAAGAGGAGTAATAGGAGAGTCTGGACAAGATTTTCTAATGCTGGGAATCTTCTGATTCATTTGCTTCAGTACCAAATGCCTCTCCTTGCTCCAACCATGAGTTGGGTCAGAGATGGGTTTCCTGGAGCTGGGGATTTCCTTCTCTATGCTCCATGATTGTGGCTGGGTAAGCTACTATGGTATCCTGGCATGGAAAGATGACAGGGATGGTGAGTAGATCATGGTGAAACTCCTGTTCCTTAGAGACCACCACTTGGTCTCCTTCTCATTAATGAGTTATACCATATTGAGGAAATATTTTAATGAGATTAAACTTCTTTTTCTTAATTTTCTGATAAGTCAAGTTCACTCATTTCTAAATTCTTGCATCCTAAATCAGCTCCCCACGCCCCAAGAGTAGATTTGACTTTTGATTGGCTTTTTCCAGCCTATTTAAGCTAGCAGGTATCACTATGACTATTATAGTCATAGATTATAACGTAAAAAAAAATAGGGAATATCTCAAAACAGTTTTAATTTTCAGCTGGCTCTGGAGTATGGAAGGATTACAAACTTGCCTTCAAATATTTTTACTTGGCATCCCAGAGCGGGCAGCCCCTTGCCATTTATTATCTTGCTGAGATGTATGCAACAGGAACAGGAGTATTAAGATCCTGCAGAACTGCCGTGGAGGTAAATACTGGTCTGTTTTTCAAGTTCTTATCATTTCGCACACGGGGATACTGGAGAGGGGATACTGTCCTTAAATTGTGGGCGCTTTTTATTTTTATGGGAATTACCTCTTTTCTTCGCATTGACATTGTGAACACTGACATTTGCCAGAGAGAAAAAACAGTGATGTAACTTGGATTGGGAAAGGGAGAAAGAGAAATGATCTCTCCTCTTTTGCATATGGCTTTTCATCACGTTCAGAGCTCGCCTCAGAATTTAGTTAAGGAGTTCTGTTTCAGCCTTCAATCAAATCACCAGGGTAATTTGGCACTTCTAGTGGGATTGGGAATTGCTACTTGGGAAACGAAAGGCTTGATTTATCCTAGAAAATGTAGCCCATTTTTTCCCAGAAAGCCAGGTCCTTAGGTGTTTGATGATTTGGATGACAATTGAGAGAGTGGATTATTTAAGCCTGAGCCAGTAATGGACTTTTCAAAAGAATGCTTTTAGGACCTATTGCCCTTCATTGATTTATTAAATATGTCTGCTGCAACAGTATAAATACCTCCATGTTGCAATCTGGTCCCTCTGAAACTCATTTCAAAAGCTGCCAGCTAATAATCTATCTTTAGATTTGCTCCTTTGCCAACTTCCTAATGAATTATGTATGGCTAACCTCTTTTGGTTACATAAGGGCTATTCAGCTACGTTGACATTTGTCCCTGTAGAGCTTTGCACACCTCCCTCGCAGTTATGTCACCTATACCCTGAGGCACTGTATTCCCTTCATTCTCTCCTTTTCACTTCAGCTGTGGCCTTGTAACTTGCCCAAGCAGAGCAGCAGTACCCACAAAGGCCCTTTAAAGAACAAACAAACAAACAAACAAACAACCCTGAACTCAGTACATTCTTGTCCTGCCAAATAGCCTCCCGCCAGGAAAGCTTATTATGCAAATTTAAAGTAAGCTTGAGGAAGTTTCTCTCAAGACAAAAAAACAAAAACAAAAAACCAACACACACACACACACACACACACACACACTTGTAATTTTTTGTGCCTGTAAAAAGTATTAACTCTTCACTCTAAATAATTTGCAAAAACCATGCATCAGGCTTAAAATTCTTGCCTGATCAGCCAGTGGAAGCTGAACACAAATTTCATTATCATTTTCCTGGGATGAAATATACTGGCTAACTAGTCTGCTTGATTTCTTTTCCCACATACAGCTTTATAAAGGTGTCTGTGAACTAGGCCACTGGGCTGAGAAATTCCTGACAGCTTACTTTGCCTATAAGGATGGTGATATAGATTCTTCTCTTGTTCAGTATGCACTGCTTGCAGAAATGGGGTATGAAGTAGCTCAAAGCAATTCAGCATTCATTTTGGAATCTAGTAAGAAAGATAAGTTAAAATTCTCTAATCATACATATGCATGTATGACTTTACTACAGAGGCATTTTAAGCCTTCTTAATGGAATGTCTTTTTTTTTTTTTCTAGAAAAGGCTAAAATTCTTGAAAAAGAGAAGATGTATCCAATGGCACTTCTTCTATGGAATCGAGCTGCCATTCAAGGTATAAAACCTAGATAAAAATAAGAAAATACCTTCTCCCTGTCCACTATTATTCATCTGATTTGCTTCAGCAATGTTTTTGGGCATGCAGACTATCAAGTAGGTGACATTTGAACTATACTGATGTTAGAGGTCATTTTCAGGAATTTATTTTCTTCATTATTCTCAAAGTCCCTTGGTTTTGCAAACCCTAGGAATTATTTTTTTTTTATAGCTCTGTCTCCATGGCACCAGAGCAGTTGTTTGAAACATGATAATTTTACTCAAGAAAACATTTTTCTTAGTCTGGCTTCAGTCACTCATTTGCCGAGTTGTTTACTGGACTAATCAGGGATGTGACCTATGCCTTTGTGAGTTTGTAGGCAAAATTAGTCATGTATCTGAGACTCATTTGATTTCTCTTCTAAAATATCACATTGATGATTACTATAAAACTCAGATATTTACTATAACCATTAACACATTTGAACCAAAAACCAAACAAGCAAACAAAAAAAGCAGAAATGAGTGGGAAAATCCTTTTCCCTTATCTGGAATTCTCATGTCCCTCCCACTTATTGGTTTTCCATGTAGTAAAGAATATAAAATACCATTGGTGGGAAAAGCCTTGACAGGAGGCATTTGCATCACTGTGGCATTTTTTTCCTAAAATTATACTATTAAAACTAGAGCAATATTATAAAGCTGTCACAATTGGCATTAAATGTGGGGAGAACTCTTACAATAGAGAGCAATTTTGCTTCCAATTAAATTTCTTAAAATCCTATCATGCTAAGACCAAATCATCCCTTTTAACAGGAAATGAATAGGATAAAAAATGATTCTCAGCTGATGCTAATATGAGGCAGAGGAAAAAGTCACAGTTGTGCCTTTTCAGATCTAGTTGAGCCAGTAGCACAGCAGCAAGCCATCAGTGCAATTTTAGAGAGAAATTCCCTTTCTTAAAAAGCCTTTGCTTTCTAAAATGCAATAAAGACCTTATTTAGAGTGGGAAAACAACACTAGCAACCTCTCAGCCATGGCAAATCAGTTCAGTTGCAACAAATGCAGGTTTATTCCAAGATAGGAAATGGTGTGAATTGGACCAAGGAAGAGAGATACTGAAAATGAGGGGACATTAATATTAAACAAATTCCCCAGTATAAAAAAGTCAGGCCTCTAAAATGAATTATGTGTCACAGAGAGGTCAGGCATTAAATGTCCCTGAAGATGTGGCTGTGAGTGTCTCACTTGGGGGTTAGGAAATCTAATAATGAAATTTTCCAATTAGTCACTAGTGGTGCTTCTTTTAGCAGTTGTTTCATGTGAAGAGGGCACTGAGCCATCAGGACTCAGTCACCACCTTGTAACTGTGAAACCAAAATAGAAATCCCTCTACTGTCAACAGATCCCCCCAGGAGCCTGTCAGAATCACCACATGCCCCTGGTAGGTCCTGCTCATTAAGGTGGAGCTGAATCCTCTGAGAATCAGCTTGTTCACTGCCTTGCAATCTCAGACTTCTGGGATCCTGCTTGGAGCTTGTAAAGCTTGAAAATGCACAGGAGAGTCTGCACCCTTTGTGGTTATAACAAAGAAGGGCAGTTTGGGACAAAATTAGAGATGGAGTGCATTTCTCTTTAGGCTTCTATGGACCTCCTACCTCTCCAGGCCTTTCTAGGATTCTTTCCTGGTACCATTCCCAAAAGGACTTACTCCCAGTTGCCTATACATTTTGAAGCATATGGCGAGCAAACCCTGATAACTCATGTCTTTGTCACTTTTAAGAAATTTTATAACATTAGCTGGACTCTGAGAGAACTAAAGTTGGCTCTCTTAAAGATATTTACATTTTAATGGGATTATACAAGATTAAACGAAATTTATACCCCCAAAGGAAAATGGGGAGAAATTTTGAAAGGACTCCTGGATCACTTAATGAAACACCTCAGACTATACCATAAAGGCGACTTCCTCTTTTTTCTGAGTAAGCCTAGACTGACTATGCAAAGGATTGCTGCAGCTGAGATGAATGTCAAAGGTGCGTTTTCCCTCATCTTTTTAGTTAATGTTCTTCTGGAGAATAGAAATAAGGACCCCACCCCATTTAGGAGTCATTCCTACCGTGGTCTTCAAAAGACTGAGATAGCATTTCTGAAAATGTGGCTCTTTTCTCCTTGACATATTCGTGTTTGTTGGAGAGCAGTATCCTAAATTACTTAACCCCTGAGGAAGGCATTTTCTAAAACATTTTCTACCATTTCTACTCATTCATTCCATGAAAATTTATACCATTCCAGGTTCTGAGATAACTTTAGTTTTGCCTTCATAGAGTTACTGCCCTCATGAGGGAGAAAGAAAATAAACTAGGAAACAAATATGATAACAAAGATATGTATTGTGAAGGATATAAAAGCATGGAGATGGGATAGTTTACTATTGGGGTGGGGGCTGAGGGGTTGTATTAGGAAGGTAGTCAGAGAAAGCCACTAGGTAGGGAAGTGGCCTTGTGCTGAGAATCAAATGACAAAAACACAGCCATGTGAAGAATTGGAAGAATTTCAGACACACTAGGCAGAGGGACTTGAGGGACCCTGAGGCGGAGGAGTTTTGTTGTGTTTGAATGACTATTAAGGCCAGAAGTCTAGAACTTTCTAGACTCCTAGTGACATTGCAGTGAGGTGAGTCAGGGAGGTAAGAGACATGTTAGGTATGATTCATAGGTCAGGTAAAGAGCTGGATATTATTCCAAGAAGAAAATGAAGCCACTGGGGATTTTAAACAGAAAAATAATGTGACTTAATTTTGCATTTTAAAAAGATCACTCTGTATGGAGAATGGATTGAAATATGGAGACATAAAAATGTTTGAAGTCTATTCTAGTATTCCAGTCTTAAACTAGATGGTGAGGAGATGTCAAGAGATGTGTGTTGTAGAGGTAGAACCAACAGGACTTGCAAATTGGATGATGGAGTTGAGGTAAAAAGAGAAAGTATGAATGATTTCCCTAGATTTTATAGTGTGAACAATGATGATGCTAGTATTATGGGAAGAAAAATTTTAGGAAATCTCTGCAGACATCTTAAGTTTAAGATCCAAGCAATCAGAAGGAATTACATATAAGAGTCTGGGCCCCGGAAAGACATAGATAAAAATTCAGAAATAGCTAATATATAGATGACCAGGGGACTAGATAAGGTCTCTTAGAGAAAGAATTGAGATAAAGGAGAGCGGGTGGGGGAGAGAAAAGAAGAGAGAGAAATAGGAGCAAGTTCTTGACATGCTAATATCTAGAAACTGGGAAGAAGGAGTTGGGCAAGAGTTTGAAAAGGGAAGATCTATGAGGTGGAGAGAAATCAAATGAAGGCCATATCATTGATGCCAAGAAAGGAAAGCTCTTGGGCAGTTGTGTTCTGTGGCTCCAATGCTGCTTGGAGGTCCAGTAAGATGAAGTCAGAGATTTAGTTGCATGGAAGTCACCAACCATCTTGAAAATAGCCCTTTCATTGTGTAAGGGGCAAAGGTCAGATTGAAATGTGTTGAAGAGTACATGGGAGGTGAAGGTCTGGAGATAGTGGGTATAGAACACACTTTTGAAAATGTCGATCATAAAGAGGAGCAGAAGAGCATATTTATTTTTATTTCTAGAAGATACCAGAGCATGTTCAAATGGCCAATGCGGTTGATATGGTACAGAGGAAGAAACCAGTGATATAGAAAAGTAGGTCTTCAGGAATGGAGACTAGGAATGGAAGGGGTGGGGTTGAGAGTTGAGCTACCTACAAAAAAAATGAATTTAAAAGGTAAAATTTGTAATATATTTTTTTAAGAACACTTATACTATACCATGAATCTTTTCCTACAATGAAGACAACTAGCATCAAGTGATATATTTTTTATTTTATAAACTATATCTAACACTGATTCTGGGGTTCTGAATGTGTGTATGTGTGTGTGTGTGTGTGTGTGTGTGTTATTTTCAAGGATCATTAGGTTAACTTACTGGGAATTACACATGAACCATTTGAGTTATGATTGTTATCTTTCTTATGTTTCCACTAGGCAACGCATTCGCTAGAATAAAAATTGGAGATTACCATTACTATGGCTACGGGACGAAGAAAGATTATGAAACAGCAGCCACACATTACAGCATTGCAGCTGACAAATATCAGAGTGCACAAGCCATGTTCAATCTGGCCTATATGTATGAACATGGCTTAGGTATTGCAAAGGTAATTGCATTGATTTGAGCCTAGTAAAGACAGCTGTGTGGGAAGGAAACATTTAAAAATGTTTTGAATTTCATTCATGTCTTCAGTTTAGAGGAAGAAAGGCAAAGACTTAGCATTTGCTGAGTTTCTCCCATGTGCCAACACATATTACTTACTCTACTATGAACTCTATGAAAATTATATTATTTTCTCCATTTATGCTAAGGACATAATGAATGAATAGGAGAAGTATAGTCTAGGCCAATTTGATTCATAGGTTTCTACTTTTTCCAGCACATACTTTTTCTAGTGGGACCCCTGCCTCTATTTCTTTCCACTTTCAGGCCATTTTCCACTGAAATTTCCACCAACACTCAAACTTTCAGTAACAAAGACAAAGCAGAATGAGATAAGAGCTGAAGACTGAGGTGGCATTAATCCAGAAATGTCTTTTGAAGCACCCACAGTTCCATGATACAGCACTGGGCAGTATAAAAAGTCCCAAGAGAATGGCTTTCCATCTTCTTAGGAAAGACTACATTTGACTTGAAGTATATTCATAAGGAAAGGGAGCTAACATTACATGGTGTTATTGGACAAATCCTTTAGTCAGCAAGTATAATTACTCAGAAGATGGCACTGAGGTTGACAGGGTGAGAAAGGTGTGTTAAATGTCAATAATGATAGTAATAGTCAGGTACTGGGTTAGATGTGTTATGTACACTGCCTTTTAAATCACACAGCCACTTGATGAGGTAAGCCCTATAACTGTCCTCACTATATGAATCAGGAAACCACAGTACAGTGGTTAGATCATTTGGCCAACCTAGCAGAGTTCATCAGTGGTGGAGCCAGAATTTCAACCAAATAGGCCTGTATAATCCCAAGTTTTTTGGGCCCTATACTGAATCATTCTTAGCGTTCAAGTATACATTTCTCTTCAGGATTTATACTCCTGGATGCTTTTCTAGAATCATACAATGTGGAGATTATTGGCTTTTTAAATGCTCTTCTTTCTTCCAATAGTGCTAATAATTGAGTAGTAGGGAATTTCCTATCTGAGAACTACTAAGACAGTGCACACTGCAGCCAAAGCTTCTGATGCAGGTACTGATTATCCAGCAGAACAGATTCCTGCTGTCTGTTTTCCCCTGCAGCCTACCTTTTGCCTGATCATTTTTCATTGGTTTCAGGGTCCAAAGCAATAGAAAAATGTCAAATCCAAATCCAGCCTATTTCCCCTTTACCTAGCAGATTTGAGCTACCTGTGGAAATTTTTGGAGAGAATGGACTGGACCCAATACCCAAATTAGATGATTCTTTAGATGTTATTTAGCCACCCTCCACCCCCCACCTTCTGCCATCCACGTCTATAAAACAGAACTAATAATACCTGGCCTGCCCCTGGCTTTGAGAATAAAACAAATAAGCCTTTGTGAAAGGGCTTTGTAGTTAAACAGTGTGTGGAATGACTGTTATTTAGATCAGGAGGGAATTTAAGCAATTGCTAAGTAAGTCTTCAATAAGATTAAAGCTTTTATTCATCATTTCCCATTCAAAATATAATAACCTGAGAGAAGCATTGTTTATAGAAAGGATATGAATGACTCCACTCCATGTGTTAAGTTCAAGTTAGCTCTCCCACCCCTTATGCTTCAAAAAGGACTTTGTTTCCCTGAAAGCCACTACCCCACCACAGTGAAGCCATTTCTGCCCTGAGTTCCTGGAGCTGAGATGGGGCATCCTATCAGGACACAGGACCAATGGTACAGGACAGGACATGCCATTTGCTGGGGCCCAGCTGGCTGACCACAGTGGAGACTTTGGTTTTCCTCCTTGGAGTCACCAAGGACCTCTCTGCTAAGCACTTTCTTCCCAATGTCAAATAGCAGCTATTGAGACAGCCAGTTCATACATTCAGGAAAAAATCTTTGAAGTTTCCTTCTGGTCCCTTCTCTATTCTTTTCTGCCAGAGTTCCTGTTAAATTGGGGGTAGTTCATTTTGATCAGGATCACTGAGTTGAGATCTGTTTATTCCTATAGAAAGTGTCTACATTAAAGGGAAAAAAACTTAGCCTCATATTTGAATAAGGAACTTTAGAGTTAGCTAATGAGGAACCATTGCTCTTTATCTTCATTATTTTCTTTTGTTTAGCAATTAGAAAAATAATCACCGAGTACCCAGGGACAAAGTTTATTAATCTTGCCATCTCACAGTCAAATTAACAAGAAAATTATAATTCTTAAAATAAATATTGCGAAAATTAAAAGCCTCAAACTTTACCAATGAAAGCAAAGTGGTTAGGAGAATAGTCCTTATTATTTGTGATTGTGAAATTAAGCAAAATGCCTAAAAATCCTTATTAGTTAATCCTCTTGTAAATCAGTGAGAAAGATGAATATAATATTACCAGAGTTTCTCTGAGAATCAAAGAAGGTTGGTGGAATCATGTTCTTGTAAACTCTGTATTTAAGATCTCTGAGGAAGAAATGAGAAATAAATCAACACTCAGTAAATCAGTGTAAAAATATGGGTCACTGGGGGCTGGGGCTATAGCTTAGTGGTAGAGTGCTTGCCTAGCACATGTGAGGCACTAGGTTCAATCCTTAGCACCACATAAAAATAAACAAATAAAATAAAGGCATGCTGTCCATCTACAACTACAAAAAAATTTTTAAAAATATGGATCACTGTTGTTCTCATCATTCTTTAGGAAAAGAAGGTGGGACTAGGTAATGCAGGTGAGTTATCCTAATAGCTTCAGAGAGAACCATCAGCTCAGTGAGCTGCTTGACCTAAATGAGGACAAGGACTAATCAAATTATATTTGATTTGGAGTTACTTCAGAAATTGAATCATGAATGAAACCTGTTGTCTATCCCTCCTGACCATTCCTTCTATCTTTACTCTGGTTAGGGTCTGAATTCTGCTCAGGTGGGTTTGTTGCAAAGGTATTTGAGGTCTCCCATTCTAATGTTTTTCTTTTAAATAGAGATGGCTCTGCCCACCAAAGACTTGTTTAGAATCACCGATCCTTACTTAGCATAGTTGTTAGGGATTGACTGCCTAGTCAGAGGCTACCTCTCCCAGCACTCGTTGCATCCACATGACTAGTTCTTAGAAGTGGTATGGAAGTAAAAAAGAAGGATGCCATTAGCGGACTAAGGGAACTAAGAACAATGTGGAGCTTCTTCCTAGACTCTTTCCTCTTCCATTGACTGAATGAAGCAGAAGGTATAAAGGCTCCTGGGAGTTGCAGAACAACATGATGGACAGAGATTGAGTCCCCAGTTACCGTGTGATGAAAATTCAGCAGCACCTAGGAACATCCCATATTGGAATACTGAACGAAAGAAACAAATTTCTGTGGTATTAGGCCATTGAAATTCAGGGTCTGTTATAGATGTTAGCATCACCTTAATTAACACATAATTCATCTAACAGAGCACTACCATGATTTTCTTGATAAAATATAACTCTGGTATTGTAAAACAGCCCCCCCCCAAAAAAAAATGCAAACATACAAAAGAATCTTATTGGCTTTCTTTTGCCTAATGAAGTCTAGACTTCTTACCCTAAATTCATAACCTTCCTTGACCTAAACTACCTTGATAATAATGGGTTGATATGTCACCTTTCCCCCTAAATTGTAAGCTACTTATTCTTTTCCCCCAAAGACTTTAAACTGAACTCTTCTGACTCTTGATCATAGTACACTTTATGCGGGACTGGGGGACCATTAAAGATCAGCACACTTTTCAAAGAATAGTTCGATGTCATTATCTCTATGAAGCCTCCAGTGATCCCCCCAATTTAAAAGATACCTACTTCTAAACTGCAATGGAATTGTGCTCTGCTTTTCATTCATTCATTTATTCACTAGAATATTTATGAAGTGCTTGTTTTGTGTTAGGAAGCACTGTGCTTGGTTCTGGGGACAGGAGCAGAATAAGGATATGGCCATAGCTATAGGTAAAGACCAAAATGGTGTGTGTGTTTGTGTATATGAGTGTGGGTTCACCTGAAAAGAATTAGAAGTAAAGTATCATAAACATGTTAAGGAGAGGGCAATTCATTTCATGGGAGGAGGGAATTAGTACTCTCAAGTCCCGTTCTAAAATGTTTTGTAACATGGAGTATGTATGAGAAACACACGATGAACTTTTCTAAAGGGAGGAAAGCATATACGCTTAAAGACAATGACTAGGGCAGGCATGGTGACTGATGCCTGAAATCCCAGAAGCTGGGGAGACTGACACAGGAGGATCCTGAGTTCCAAGTCAGCTTCAGCAACATAGCGGGGCCCTGAGCAATTCAGCAAGACCCTGACTCTAAATAAAATATTAAAAGGGACTGGGGATGTGGCTCAGTGGTTAAGCGCCCCTGAGTTTAATCCCCAGTGCCAAAAAAAAAAAAAAAATGACTAGGAAAGCTATCTTAAAGTAAGACAAAAGTTGAAGGGAAATTTTCATTTGGAGATGAATTTCAAATATATATATATATATACACACACACACACACACACACATACATATACATATACACTGAGATTTACTAGATAACATATTTAAGGAGTCCTGCAGAGAAAACAAAACCACATCTACTGAATAAATTATAAATAGGTCTGTCAAAAATAAAAGTAATTATGGCATAAAACATTTTAATTTCTCATTTGTCTGCTCTGACCACCTATGGAGCATTACAGCTGAATTCTTAGATACCAAAATAAAATTATCACCTAGAAAGTTAGGTAGTTAAATGTTCCTTCCAGAAATATGGTAGGACAGCTGGGCACAGCGGTGCATGCCTGTAATTCTAGCAGTTCAGGAGGCTGAGGCAGGAGGATCTCAGTTCAAAGCTGGCCTCTGCAACTTGGTGAGACTCTAACAACTTAGTGAGACTCTGTCTCAAAACAAACAAAAATTTTAAAAAGGGCTGGCAATGTGACTCAGTGGTTGAGAACTCCTGGGTTCAATCCCTGGTTAAAAAAAAAAAAAGTGAAATGGTCACAACCTCTTGGCACAGTGGTGCATGACTGTAATCCCAGGGACTGGGGAGGCTGAAGCAGGGGGATCCCAAGTTTGAGACCAACTTTGGCAAGAAAGGTTAAGTCATTTAGCCAAATTCCTTTGACTTCTAAGTGGTGGATCTAGGATTCAAATCTTAATAGTCTGTTTCTCTCCTACTCATTTAAGCACTAGGTAGAGAATAGTAAGTAATTCTTCTCAGAATTAAAAAGGGCTGGAGACATAGCTCAGTGGTAGAGTACCCCTGGGTTTAATCCCCAGTACCATCAAAAAAAAAAAAAAAAAAGTCTTAACCATTCATGAAGTAAATGTCTATTAGCTAATAAAATAACCAGAAATATGCAAAAAGTTTGGTGTGTAGCTTTATTTATTATAGGAAAAAACTTACAAAAAACCCAAAATGCTCTGAAGTAGATGACATGTTACATAAATTATTGTACAGTGTTATGTCTTCTATACCTGGTGCTTAAGTGAGCAGGCAAGAAACTGACTATTGGTATTTCAATCCTAGACCCACTACTTAAAAGTCAGAGGAATTTGGGCAAATTCCTTAATCTCTTGACCTCTCTGTGCCTCAATATCTTCATCTTCAAAATGTTACCTGTTCAACTGGTTGTAGGTGTGCATACCTATAATCCCAGCTACTCATGAGGTTGAGGCAGGAGAATTGCAAGATCAAGATCAGCCTTAGCAATTTAGCAAGACCATGACTCAAAATAAGAGTTGGGGGGGGCGGCTGGGGTTGTGGTTCAGTAGTAGAGTGCTCGCCTAGCACACGTGAGGCACTGGATTCAAACCTTAGCACCACATAAAAATGAAATAAAGATATCTTGTCCACCTAAAACTAAAAAATAAATATCTAAAAAATAAATAAATAAGAGTTTGGATGTAGCTCAGTGTTAGAAGTGTCCCTAGCTCTATCATTGTACCCAGTTCAATCTCTAGTACCCAAAAGAATAAAGAAAGAAAAGAAAATTGCCACCTACCCTATAAAATCACCATGATGATTAAATGACAGTGAAGACCAGCACTCAGTATTAAATATTAATCATTATTATAGTATTGTATGCAATTACTGAAAATTATTTTATAAAAAATTTTAAAACATGGTATAGTGTTTACAATATTGTTGGGCTAAAAAAGCAGAAGACAAAATATTAGCAGGGCATGGTGGCATACCCTTGTAATCCCAGCAACTTGGGAAGCTGAGGCAGGAGGATCACAAGTTCAAAGCCAGTCTCAGCAAGAGCAAGGCACTAAGCAACTCAGTGAGACCCTGTCTCTAAATAAAAGACAAAATAGGGCTGGGGATGTGGCTCAGTGGTTGAGTGCCACTGAGTTCAATCTCTAGTACCCGCCCCCAAAATTTATGCAGAGTAAAAAAATAATCCTGAAATTAAAAGATGTATATATGAATATGTATGTATGTATATATATATATATATATATATATATATATATATATATATATATATATATACAGGAAACTGTTATGGTATATTCATAATCATCAATTTTTGATAACATACAAAAAGTTGGGCCTAGAGAACCCCTCCATAGTGAAAATGAACAATTTTCATAAACCAGCTTCTTTATTGCTGGAGAATTCTCTATCTTTGAATTTTAAGAAGTTATTTTGAACATTTGAACATTAAGCATACTGATGCACACTTGACATTTTAGTTAGAAACAGGTTATTTAAGAAGAGTCTGAAGATTGGTTTACATAACCTCTTAAATAGCTAAATGTAAAGCAAAATAGATTCAAATATATCACAGACAGGTTACATCTAAGTGGATCTGATATGCTGTGGACTTCCCATTTACTAGATGCTGGCCACCTTCAAAACACAAATTAAGAGAAGATTTTTTTTTTGTTTCAATAACTTGGATTTTTAGTAAACAGAGTGAAAGAATGAGAAGTCTTTCCTGCAGTTTAGCAATAAAAAATTATTTTGTCAAAGTTCTAGATTATCCTGAAACAAACAGGAATTTCTTTCTTTGGGAATTTTAAAGAAAGATGTTCACATCCTACTCTAACATGCTGCAAACATTGGGGTCCTCAGTAAGGAGTAAGTTCATCCCACCTTAAGGATACTTCTTGCTTTTTAAAATTTTTATTTTTTTAAGTTGCAGATGGACACAATACCTTTATTTTATTTATTTATATTTATGTGGTGCTGAGGATTGAACCCAGTGCCTCACACATGCCAGGCAAGTACTCTGCCACTGAGCTACAACCTCAGCCCACTTCTTGCTTTTTTATATTATGAAGTGAGTGAGTGAATGGTGATGTTTGTGCCTCAAGAAATAATTTAATAATCATTAATTTAAAAATGAATGCATGATATTTTGACAAAAGCTGCCTTTCCCTGAACCTTGATTTGAGTCAATATGCCTTTCACATGTGGGACTGCCACAGCTGTTTTAATCTGCAGGCTTCTGTCATATGAACACTCACCAAAGATGCTGGAATTAGACACACACATATTAAGAGTTTTTACGACATCTATTTTCTCTGTTGCCAGGAAGATTTGCTCTAAACAATCTCCTGAATTTTAAGTATTTTAAACAAGAACATTCCTCTTTCTCTAACAAATCTATTTACCAGACCTCAAAGCTTTGGAAAATTTTAAGAAGTGATAAGCAGAACACAGCAAAGAGGAGACACTGCTCAAGAAACAGGTTTAGCAAAGGTCCATAGGTACATGACTATTGAAGCCTAGGTGATGGAGCAGGAAAGATAAAAAAAGACATTTGAATGGCAATTTCTGAAGAAGCTTTCCTCTTCTTCCCTTTCTTTTGAAAATAATCCATGGGCACCCAAGCACAACACAATTCTGGGACACAGCCAGGATACTTCAACCTTTAAAAGAAACGCTTCTTACCTTTTCATTACTGTTTGAGCAAACAAAGCAAACAAAATAAACCACAGTAGTTAGAAAATTTAAAAAAATATGTATCCACTATGCCATAATTTAATGAAAAAAAAGTCCCTGAAAATACAGTAGTATATCATGTGAGGAATCAAATGCCAACTTGAAGGCCAAAAGTATTTACTCATTTATTCAGTAAGTATTATTGAAGCCCTGCTATGTAGTAGATACTTTATTAAGCACTGGGAATTAGGGATGAACAGGTCTTTCAAGGACCTGGAAATAGACAAATAAATAAATTCTATAATTTCAGGTATAATAAGTACTATGACAATAATTACATATAATTAATGATTATTACTTATTATCTATATTTGTATTTGTTTTAGGGAAATGTACTCTTAGTATCTAGTGTTCTCTGTCCCTCTCATTGGAATCACACGTAGGGGTATCCAAGAAAGCATTTGGAGATTGTGCAAGTTTTCTACAGCTGCTGTAACAAATTATCACCAATTTAATGGTTTAACACAACACACATTTATTATCTCATGGATTTTATAGGTCAAAAGTCCAGGCAGCTTGATTGGGTCCTCTACTTATGGTCTCATGTGACTAAAATCAAAGGCTATGTTTTTTCCTGGAGGCTGTGGGGAAGAATTTGCCTTCAAGTTCATTCAGGTAGTTGGCTGATCTAGTCTCCTTGAAGTTGTATGACAGAAGTCCCAACGTCCTTGCTGGCTGCTTGAATTCCTTCTCATTCTGCTCAATGTGGCCTTTTCTAGAAATGGCAAGTTGAGACCTTATTTCTTGTGCCACATCTCTGAATTTCTTCTACTATCAGTACTTCTATAACTCTGTTTAAAGGTTTATGCAATGAACCAGTATTACAGGATTACACTCCTGTAATCCCAGTGGCTCAGGAGGCTGGAACAGGAGGATCACAAGCTCAAGGACAGCCTTAGCAATTTAGTGAGGCCTTAAGCGACTTGGCGAGACCCTGTCTCAAAATAAAATATATATATAAAAAAAGGACTAGGGATGTGGCTCAGTGGTTAATTACCCCTGGGTTCAATCCCTGATACCAAAAATAAAATAAATAAATAAATTAAAAAGATTTATACAATGACATAGGGTCCACCTAAGTAATCCAGGATACTCTATTTTAGGGTCTGTAACCTTAATTGCATTTGCAAATTCCACTTAGTCATATTGAATAACATGATTTATTCACAGGCTTTAGGGATGAGATCATGGATATCTTTGTGGGCGCAATCTGCCTACCAAATATAAATTATATTTCTAAGAATGGTTTCTGTCTATTCATTGTTTAAGAATCTGTACCTAATGAGGATGGGCTGTTCTTCTGTTTCTAGGACATTCACTTGGCCAGGAGATTATATGACATGGCTGCTCAGACAAGTCCAGATGCTCACATACCTGTGTTCTTCGCCCTCATGAAACTGGAAACTATGCATTTGCTCCGAGATATCCTGTTTTTTAATGTAAGTTTGTCTCAAATAGGTCCTGAATTTCTAAATGCAAACTCCAGTGAGCAACTCTTAGGGACAAAGTGCTAAGGCTCATGGAAAGAGTATTTTTTTGGACTAGAATTTCTTTGATAAGTAGAATTCAAAGTCTTATACTTACTCTGCCAAGCAATTCTGCTGTTATATTGAATATGTGTTGACACTGCATAGTACAACCAATGTATTCACTTGGCAGATATTCTTTCCAGCATATACTATGTTCAAAGCCTTAAGCAAAGTAACATGTGCTATATATACTTGTTCAAAACATAGCTCTTGCCATCAAAATCTGAGACTGGTAAGCAGATGGCAGGTGGCAAGTGGTACCACAAAGAACTATAATTGCAAAAAGTAGAAATGAAATTTTATAAATCTTAGAGATTATTCAAAGGTGTTAGTTAAGTCCCATGTGAGAGTCATAGCCAGCAAAGATCACATCTTCCAAGACTTAAGGAAGCAGGGGAACAGATGCAGGGGGCAGGGTGATGGTGGTAGGTTTGGGAGGACATGATGGTTCTGAGTGAAGTGGGAGCTGTGGTTTATTTTGACTAAATGTTTCTTGCCAGCAGTTTACTTTGAGATGGAAATGGATGAAATTGGACAACGTGCTTGGACCATACTGGGATTTATTTGTGATTGGTTTAATTGTTGTCATGCTGATCTTCTTGATTAAAAACTGGCATAGGTAGGATCTGGATCATAGGAAAACCTGCTCATGGTTTCACGCCAAGCTATCCTCACTAAATAAAGAATTTCATCATACAAATCAAGAGCCTGCTGATTTCCCACACAGACCTGTGATGGAAAGTGGACAAGGCCTGAGACCCATCCTAGAGAAACAACTTCAGACTTCCTGTTTAGTTGAGGGGACCACGTGGGGGAATGCTGGGGACTGGTCACAGCCTAAGACCTTGCTACAAACTTGACATCTTGGTGATCTAGTCCTGAGTTAGGAATAAAGAGCACCATCTTCATGGTGATTGTAATAAAAGTGGTTTCCTCACAAAGTTATCCTCTCCTTTCAAGATGGATTTCTTGGCTCCTACAGACATACTGAGGTGAGGAGAAGGGGGAGTTCAGGGAAGACTGGAATACAGGTAACCCAGAAGATAATAAGGACGATGATTTCAAATTGCAGCCCTAACGAGCAGCAGCACTTCTCATGGCATGTTGTGCATGGAAAGATTGGAGTGTGGCTGACCTGACCCCTCACCAAGGGGCTTTCTACCAAAGTTACCTTAGTTGTTGGGTGATGAACAAAGCCACTTGGCGGTCTATATAGCACCATACCTCCTCCCCACTCCTCAGTGGAACCCTGTTCTCCCTGGAGAATCCCTCCTGGAGCCCCCACATAGGAAGATGACACCAGCCTCCTGGGAAAGAAACTAGAAAGTCTAGATTCTCTGGCTCTTCTAATAGGCAAAACAGGGGCCCAGGGCTAGGGAGTGGTTCATGCGTAAGTAGAGAGAATACAAGAGGCCCATGACTTATGTCCAGGGCCAGGATTGAACTCCAGCTCCACACCTCTCTAGCTATTTGCTCTCCCATGTCTCCACTTTCTGATCTGCAAAATGGGAAGAATAATACCTTAGAAAGCTAGTATGAGTGTTAAATGAATTAATATATACAAAGTGAGCAAAACAGGGCCTTGCACCTAGAATAACTTCCATAAGTGGTAGCTTTGAATATGCTTTAAAAACTCAGGGCAAATCAGAATTCAGAAGAGAGCTGAACTGATAATCTGTGTAGCTTCTGTACTTTTCCATTAGTCCTCCAGCCAAAATACTGGGTGCTTTGGTAGGAAGAGACTCTGCTTAACTACTTGAAAATCCAACTTAGAAACAAAAAGTTAATTTTTTAAAAATGATGTGAGGAACAGTACAAGATGGTGAGAGAACCTGGAATAACCTGGAGGAATGTTCAGGCTTTGAAAGCAGGGAGGGATTAAGATATTTAAGTTCATTAAAAGGTCCATTTCTGTGCCTCTTCTCTGGTGCCACCAACCGTAGTTGTTCCTACCACCATGGGGGAAGTTTCAAGATGACTGACACGGGAGAAGAATCTCCTGTCATATTTCCTGGTTATTGCAAAATACCACCTTGTATTGTTTCCCACATGGTTTAGCAGAGACAGCACACTGACCCACAGCAAATGTAGAGTTTCCAGAGAAAAGTAACAACATCCAGCTGCTGTCTTCACCACAGTAGGCAAATCAAACTAAGTCAATGACTCCTGAGCAAGCTGAGGCTACCTTCATGTCCAGAGAACAGGGAGACTTGTTTCCTTACAAGAGTTGTGGGGCCACTGCAGGCCTGGTTCCACAAACCAACCAACCAAAGTAGATTATTGCCTCAGTCCCACATAGGCTTCTGTGACTTGGCATGTGAGTTAGACCAAGTAATTGACAGATTATACATAGATCAAAGGAAGAGGGATGGATACTGAGAGAAGGAAAGGGCCTCACTTCAGACAGCTTCACATACATGTCAAATCTAAGTGATGTGATTTCCTTAGTTTAGGTTCCCCTAGAAGCTGACCTGGGAGATTTGATTGTAAGCAGTCTATTTAGGAAGGATCTCAAGAAATACACATAGGGGATTCCACCTCTTGGGTCCCCTTCTTCCTCCGGGAGAAGTCTTTTCTGCTGTCCTTTAATAAACTTCTAATTTCTACTCTGACCTTGCCTCGGCGTGCTTCTTTGGTGTTATTCTTCAACATTGGGGAAGCAAGAACTCGTCACCAGTCAACAGCGGTAACATATTGGAGGTCCCAGACCGAGATTCTACACCGAGGTAAGTGCACGCACCCCATGTCTGTTTGAGGTGCATCTTTCTCTATTTCTTTCTGGAGGGTAAGGTGGGCACCCGACGGCTACTTAAACGCAATTAGTGCAGCCGCCACTCTTCAAGACTCGGGTGAGAGGTTTCCCGGCCTAGGCAGCTCTCAATCACCTGTTCAATACAGAGCAGGCATGTTGGGTTCTGCCAAAGCCGCTTCCAACTTTTCTGTCTGGGCCTGGAGAGCAATTGGCGTGAGTACACAGTGTCCCGAATCCCGATCTGCCTCGGATGCGTGGAGGTGGAGGAAGGAGTTTGGAACAACTGCGGAATTCCGGTCTGGGCTACACTCAGAGGATTCCTAAGGTTCCTTTCTCTTGAGCCCCTCCCGACAGCCCTCAGGGGTATCTAGGGTGATCGGTAGATGAATGGCACTGAGGGAAAGCCCCAATCACATTTGCCTCCGTATGGGCCATGCAACACTCCCAACCTCGCATCCATTCCTCCTGGATGCTCCCCTTCCTTCGCAGGTCAGAAATGTTAGCAATTCAGGTTGTAGGACTGAGAGAAAGGCATGGGATAATTAGCAAAATCTGCCCAGGTTCCCTAAGATGCATAGGTAACTTCAACTAGTTTGTTTTACCACCCCAATGTTTAAAATGTGTTGTGTTCCTTAAGCTACTAGAGAGGCATTTTTAGAATCAACTCCTCCGGTAATCTGCTACCTTACAACCAGTAGATATCCCTTAACACTTAGGTGGCTCCTTCAGTCTACAGAGCAAAGGCAACAAAAGAGCACAGGATTCTCTTTTGCAATGGGTTTTTAGTGGCCGGGAGGATAAGCAGTAATGCCCTTAAGTCTGAATCCTCCCAGGGTCTCTGGCACAGGGCAAACTGAGACCCTAGCACTTTGCTAAAGGGGACCAGAAACCCCTTGGCAAAGCAAGGTGAGAGACGGGTTTTCTGGACCGTTTAGGAAGCTCAAGCTTAGGGAGACATCCCTAATGAGAACAGTTTTCTCCAGTGCGGCGGGGGCGCCTGAGTCCTGTTCTTCTCACTCAGACGGGAGCTTCTCTCTCTCCAATATGCCAGGTGCACCACTAGCCTGCATATTGAAAAATTGGGATAGATTTGAACCTCAGACGTTCAAGAAAAAGCGCCTCATTTTCTTGGCCTGGCCTCAATACAAACTCTCTGAAGAAACCTGGCCACCAGAGGGAAATATCAATTTTAATACAATTTTACAGTTTGATAAAATTTACAAAAAGGAAATGGTGTGAGGTGCTGTATGTTCAGATTTTCTTTGCTCTAAGGGAAAATCCTAAATTATGCCAACAGTGTAAAGTAGACTTAGCTATGATATCTGCCATGAAGAGAAAAAATCTTGGACTCACTGAGGAAAAAGAATCAAGAGAAAAATTTGGGCCGATCAAAGTACATACCCCCTTCCCCCTTCAAGACCTAAGGCAGATAAAAACTGACTCTAGTGGAAAGTTAAGAGATATGCCAGATTGCCTGGGATTGGATCTATCCAAAGGAGCTAATCCTGTAAGTAAAAGGGAAACTGAGGTACTCCCAGCAGCTGCCAGAGCCATTTTCGCTTTGGGGAATTTCCTCATTCTTCCCTGCACTGTAAGGATTGCTCCATCTCTGTCCACTTAAAAAGAAGGGACACTGAATGCAGTAAAGTCAGTCACACGGAGACCCTTGATTTTACACCTATAGTTGCCCCTCTGTGAAAACATCTGGTCCACTCATGGGAAATCTAAGGTGCCACTGATAGGAGTCATAATTAAATGGAAGTTAAAAACCCGGAGAGATTTTTCTCTTATCTGGTCTATTTTAAAGGTTATTATAGATTGTTTCTTGGGGATAATCTAGGCTAAATGTGTGTCTAAAAGATGATGTTTCATTGTAACATCTGGTACCTAAATGAGTTTGAAGCATTGCATAATCTTGCAGTTAAAAGTTGGGGTTAGGTAATTGTTTAGTTTGATTTCAGATAATTCATGCCAGAGAACTTAAATACTTAGGATAGAAAATTAAAAGAATTCTACTTCCAAGTTGGCAAGTAACTCCCGATCATTTAGTTTTATTTTGAACTGGGTAGCCTGAGAAGATTTCACTAGGTATACCAGTGCATTAACTTGGGCAAGGATAGTAAATTATGATATGGTATCTGTTCCCCTCAGTGTGTAAGATTTAGGAAAAATGTTGAATTGGAACGTTGGTCTGGCTTATTGAAATAACATTGAATAGCAACAGTCTTAAATTTTTAAAGCTTAATTTTGGATATACATGGTAGTGTGTGGTTCTCAAGATTTTTTTCAGGTGATTTAATGTAACTTAATACTACTTTAGGAACTTCAGAACAAAGGAAGTGACTTAATGATCCTAAAGAAATTTCTTCTGGTGGTAGAGATCCTATTTTCAGTTTTGTGTGAGCAAGTTTTTCTAGTGTAGGAAAATGTAAAGGTATGAAATTTTGTAAATTGTATCTTAAACTTGTATCATAATTTTCAACATCCAAACCTGAAAATTGTGACTTATGGTTAAAATGCCTTAGGCATGAGGTTTCTGCTCAGAATTCCAGTTTTCCCAGTTCCTTCCAGACCTCAGCCAGGACTTAAACTGATATGCAAATAGAAGAAGCCTGGGGCTCAACAGAGGGCAGATTTCAGGCCCAAGGAAAAAAAAAAAAAGAGTAAAAGTGTCTTTTTATGGGAACTCAAACTAGATTAAACCAAAGAGTAAATTGTATGGCATTTACTAATTACTGGCCGGTCAATTTTTTCTAGGACTTTTGCTTTTTTCTTAGATTCTGTATTTTTTTTTTGAGCTCGTGATTTTGATCCTACAGACAAGTCAATGTTTTTCTGATAAGTCCTATTTTTGATCAACTGGAGTTTTTTTAAACATTGCAATGAGATTTCACCTGAGAAAGCTACAAGGCCTTTACTATTGTGTTGTGTTACACTTGTGTTACGTGTTGTATGTCGGTATGTCTGTGTGTATGTCCATATATCGTGCAGTGATATGACAATTGACAGATGAGGAGCGCTCATGAAAAATTTTTAAAAAATGG